ATGTTTACTAAAACTTCTATTTAGAAGCTCACCTAAAACATAAATAGTTGCCTGCTTTGCCTAAGCCCATTTTCGTCAAGGGTGACTCCAACCCCTCCTCCAGGAGAGACATCTTTCTGGACAACGGTCTAAAAACACAGAGTTTTGTATGAAATCACAACCGTGACAGTGTCTAAAACGTCTGTGACCCATGGACTTTCAAAAAAGATTTTATTTAAAAAAAAAGATTTTATTGATTTATTCATGAGAGACACAGAGAGAGAGGGGCAGAGACCAGGACCCCCAGGATCCCAGGACCCCGGGATCATGCCCTGAGCCGAAGGTAGATGTTCAATCACGGAGCCACCCAGGCGTCCCGACCCATGGACTTTTGGCTTAAAAAAAAACTACTTTATTCATTGTGCCTGCTATATTTTCGTTTCAGAGAACTGTTAATGAAGCTGAAGCCTCGCATTTCTCAAATGGCTCAAACCAGACACAGTCTTCACTGTGTTCGTATTAAGCAAATGACTCATATCTAGGAAGAAGAAAATGAGAAAGTAGGCTACAAAGGAAACAAGCAAACTCAAAAATACTCTGGTTTACAATAGCTTCAAGGTTATATAATCCTCCGAGTTTCCATTTCACTGAATTAGGTCAGCTTTCGACACCTGAATCATTTTCCCTGCCTTTTTTTTTTTTTCCAATCCTGCCACAGCAGAATCCCATGTGCAGTTAGTTGGAACTGACCTACTTAATTAGAACTTGGAGCCCTCAGACAGAAAGGGGTGCTGTCTTCTTTTGAGTTTGTTTCCTTTGTGTCTCTCACTTTCCAGAGTTTCAGTCTTGTCAACCTTGATGAAGAGAAGGTTAGACTCCCACATCCTTTCTAACTTGAGGTCTTAATGAATACTTCCTGAGCACCTGTCACATAGAAGGTGCTAGATATAAGGGGTGGACGTATAAAAATGGACTGAGGCTGCCCTAGCATCAAGAACTTTACACTCCATGAAGGAAGAGAAGATAATACAGAGCAAAGCCAAGGGGGCATCTGGGTGGTTCAGTCGGTTAAGCATCTGTCTTCAGCTCAGGTCATGATCTCAGGGTCCTGGGATCGAGCCTCACATCAGGCTTCTCTGCTCCTTGGGGTCTGCTTCTCCCGCTGCCTATGTCTCTGCCTCTCTCTGTGTCTCTCATAAATAAATAAACAAAATCTTTTTAAAAATGCCATAGTTATCATATTTATCTTCTTTATTCCTCATGACTGGCATTGTGCCTGGCACACAGTGGAGGCTGCATCTGACGGAAGGGAATCCAGAATGGCTCACAGCTGTTATATCTGAGTTGATGTTTAAAAGGCCATTCAACCCTTGGGGGCTTCCTGATGCCATTCTCCAACTCGATACAAAATCTTAAGCCAACAATCAAGGTTCTCCATGTTCTGGTCCCAATATATCATTCAATCTCCATCTCTTACCCAGAACCATGTTATAGCTTTGCCATACCTCAGATATCACCCATAACTTTCTACTTCTTTGCCCACATTCATGCTGTCCCTCATCCTGAAATGTCTTCCAATCTAAGCACAGTCCAATTCCATTATCTCTCAACATTTCAGATTTCTCCTGTTTTATGAAGGAGGTCTTACAAAGCCTTTCCTGACTCCTCCAATCATATGTTCTCTCTCCCTTCTTTGAAATCCCACAAGATTTACTGGCATTTCTCATGGTATAGATGCCATTTAGAATTGCATTATGGTAAGGTAATGTCTTTGTCTTAAGGTAATAATCTGTCTGATATTAGACACATTATTCATCCATGTTGCCAAACACATGGTAGGTATTCTGTAGATTATTTGACAGGACAAATATAAAAAGGACAATGTAGGACTCAGAAACTGAGTAAACAGTGGCACTAAATTAGTGCATTTGTGGCTTCTGCCTAAAATGGTGACTATTGCGGTTTGATTTTTGAACATAAGATTTTGTTGATAGAATCACAGTGGTTAAGTTTAGAAGACAGGTTGGGTTCAGATCAGAGAGTCCTAAATGCCAGGGTAATAAAAATGGCACATATTTAGCTCTTAATGAGAGTCACTGATGGTTTCAGGAGCTGGAGAGTAACAAACTCAAAGATATGAAACTCAAACCAGAAGAATTCCAGTTGAATGCATCAGTCTTCTGGGAATTTGGTTAGAGGTAAGTCCATCCCTGAGAGAAGAATCGAGTCTTGGTGTGCTGATAAAATTAAGTACATGAACCTGAAGATCTGTGAGTTCTGGAAACGTCACTAAGCTAAATACTGCTTCATAGGCTTCCTAACAACCTAATATTTCAGTACCCACCTCAATAAAAGGAAATAGGCTGACACCAAAGCACCTATCACTAAATTTCCAAACTGATGAAAAAGAATATTCTATATTTTTCCAGAGCAGGGAGACGGGTGCAGAATACAAAGCAGGGGGAATAAAAATAGCTTTGGAGTCCCCAGCAATAACACTAGAAGCTAGGAGACAGTGGGGAAACGTCTTTCAAATTCAGAAAGAAAAGAGTTTCCAACCTAGAATTCTATGCTGAGCCAAACCATGAGTGAAGGTTAAGGGTAAGATGAACACATTATCATACGTACAAAGTCTCTGAAGACTTATCTTCCATAGACCTTTCTCAGACCACACTGAAGCAAAAATATAAACCAAGAGAGAGAAAAATGAGACATAAAAGAAACAGGTGGAGCCTCTAGGTGGCTCAGTCAGTTAAGAGTCTGACTCTTGATTTCCGCTTAGGCCCTGGTCTCGGGGTCCTGAAAACAAGCCCCGTGTCAGGCTCCCCACTCAGTGGGGAGTCTGCTGGGGATTCTCTCTCTCTTTCTACCCTCCACCCTGTGTCCTCTATCTCTCTAATAAATAAATCTTTTTTTAAAAGAAACAAGGAAGCCAACACAAGAGTAAGGCACAGGAAGTCCCCAGAACAATGGGGAGCCTGGACAGCACCTGTGTACCCAGCAAAAAGGGAACCACTCTAGAATGGAGCAGGTCAAGAATCTCCGGGAGACACGATATGTTACCTTTCTGTCTTATCCCTCTAACTTGCTTTTCCTCTTATGTGGTTTCTGAAGTCTATCAATGTTGGAGGCTCATAGCTCCAGAATACCCATTTTCACTGTTGCATAGTGTCACACTGAATTTATGTATATTGCACTTCATTTGACTGCTTTTCTTGTGTTGGACATTTAGGTTATTTTAAAAACCTTACTTAGGACAAACAACGCTACTATAAATAATCCATGTGCATGTGTGAGACTTCTTTCCTAGCAGTGTGGGATGATTTGGTATGAATTTACATCTACTGGATATTGCCAGGTCATTACCCAAAGTGGTCATATCACAGTGGCAGCCTTTTAAACAAAACCTTTTAACATGTACATGCAATAGACCTCCAGCATTCCCAAATAATACGCTTAGATTTTACTTCTTGACTTTTCAGTTTTAGGCAGTATATATGGATTCTTACTGTGGAAGAAGAATATTTAACTCTCCTTCCACATCCCTGCCCACCCCACTCAATTTCTGACCCACATAGCCTTCCCCAAAAGCTGTACCATGTTGGATAGATTAGTATTCATTGTTTACGTCATTGTGTCATCACAGTGAGCCATGCCATATGCTAAGGTGACATGTTCCCCACAGCCTGTTTGCCCTGGAGTAGCATCAGATAGTCTAAGAAATGTCTCACTATTAAAATCAATGGCTACATTAGAAACGACGAATACCCACCATTTGCTTCAACATGGATAGAACTGGAGGGTATTATGCAGAGTGAAGTAAGTCAATCGGAGAAGGACAAACATCATATGGTTTCATTCATTCGGGGAATATAAAAAATAGTGAAAAGGATTATAGGGGAAAGGAGAGAAAATGAGTGGGAAATATCAGAGAGGGTGATGGAACATGAGAGACTCCCAACTCTGGGAAAAGAACAAGGAGTAGTGGAATGGGAGGTGGGTTGGGAGTATGGGGTGCCCCCCACTGAGGGGGGCACTTGATGGGATGAGCACTGGGTGTTATACTATATGCTGGCAAATTGAACTTCAGTAAATAAATAAACAAAAAAATAAAAATTAAAAAATAAAATCAATGGCTACACTTGGCAAGGGGGTACAGCAGTGATGTGATGGCTGCTTCTCACCTCCAACAAGCAGAAACCAGACTCTCTTAGTGGTTGCAGGCAGAGATCCCAGCCCAATCTCTAAAGGAAGAGTGTCAAGTCTCTCTCCCTCCTTCTCTCTCTCTCTCATACACAAACACGTACACACAAATACAGAGACACAGTCACACCACTCTGAAGCAGATTTGCTTTCATTGACTTCCTAACTGATCAACTTTGGCTATATTTGGTCGAGTCTGCTCCTCTGAACCCCCTTGCCCCCACCACTCAGCACCTAGGAGCTCTGTATTTCCTGCCACTGTGACATCTTGTTAACTTCCCCTCTCTGGGTTTGGTCATCCTCGGTCCCAGCAGGACATACAATCAGCCTCAGAAGTGATGAATACCAACTTACTCTTGAAAGCCAATGCAAAACATTGGCTGATGAATCTGACTAATGAAATAAAGAACACTGTGCTTAGCTAATGTCCTATTATTAAACATTCATCTGTCATGGTCATCAAAATCTCCTATTATCACAGGTGACATTCTGAATTGATATCAGCAACAGAATCAATATCCAATTCTCTGAATACTAAATCCAGTAAAGCACAGCATCCAACTGTGAAAAGGCGAGAGGAGATCTCTCCTCTTCCATAATTACCAAGCAGCCAGCCAACCATCTCTATGTTGTTCAAGCTAATTTATTTATTGTATCTGCTAAATGCTCAGGCCTTATACAGAGCATATGCAGAGAATCGGGCATGTCACAGTGTTTCCAAAGGGAACACCACCATCTCTTCTTGGGGAGGTAAAAATAAGTTAGCTTTGGAAGATGATGTCAGCAAGCAAAGGGATAAAAACAAAAGCCCTACTTACCATAGAAGAGGAATGCTTTGGTCATGGGATGATGTAGGTAGGTCCGGTTGATGGTGAAGAAACACGCATCTGCTCCGCACTGGCCTAACCTTCCAGTTTCCCCAGTCAAGGGGGACCACCAGAGCATGATGGGATAGCTATCAGTTTCCAGTTGGTTCTTCCGCTTCAAGATCAGTGCTTCTCTCTCAGGGAGTGGATAGAGATGTACAGGCTCCTCTTCAATTTTTGCATGTCCAGCTCGCAAATCAGAATTTTTAAACTTCTTCCTTTCAAATTTTCCCAGTTCAACCACGACCTGAGAGAAAAGACAAGGATTACAGAGTCGGACTGTTTCATTTCCTCTTGCACGTCTCCCATTCATCTTGATGTTGGAGCCTCATATTAGTTTTCTATTGCTTCTTATAACAAATTTCCACAAAATCAGCAATTGAAAATACCACATTTATAGGGGTGTCTGTGTGGCTCACTCTGTTGAGCATCTGACTCCTGATTTCCACTCAGGTTGTGATGTTGGTGTCTTGGGATGGGGCCCTGCACTGGGCTCTGTGCTCAGTGGGGAGTCAGCCTGAGAGTCTCTCTCCTTCTGCCCTACCCCCCTGCTGTCTCTCTGAAATGGATAAATAAATCAAAGGAAAGAAAGGAAGAAAGGAAGAAAAAGAAAGAAGAAAGAAAGAAAGAAAGAAAGAAAGAAAGAAAGAAAGAAAGAAAGAAAGAAAGAAAGAAAGAAAGAAAGAAAGAAAAAGAGTTGTTGCATGGTTCTGGAGGTAAGAAGTCTAACCCGGTCTCACTAGGCTAAAAGCAAGGTGTCAGCAGGGCTACATTCTTCTCTGGAAGCTCTGGAGAACCCATTTTCTTGCTTTCCTATCTCTTAGAGCCATCCACCATTCTTGGCTCCTGCCCCTTCTGGATCCTCAAAGCCAGCAATGTTGTCTCTCTTTGATGCTTATTCTGTTGTCCAATCTCTGTCTGACCACAGCCAGGGAAGACTCTTAGCTTTTAAGGATTCATGTGATGATATCGGCCCCACACTGATAATTCTGGATAATTTATTCATCTCAGAGTGTATTATCTTAATGCCATCTGCAAGGTTTCTTTTGCCATGTAAATTTACATATCCACAAGTTCCAGAGATTAGGGTGTGTGGGGACAAAATATCTACCAGGTAAGATGCCTAATTCTACTAAACACATGCCAGCTACATTTCTCCATTTCACAGGTGTATATAGCATCTGGAAATAGTTTGGTCTTTTTAAAATATTTTATTTATTTATTCATGAGAGACACAGAGAGAGAGGCAGAGACATAGGCAGAGGGAGAAGCAGGCTCCCTGTGGGGAGCCCCATTTGGGACTTGATCCCAGGACCCCGGGATCATGACCTGAGCCAGAGGTAGGTGCCCTGAGCCACCCAGGTGCCTCTAGTTTGATCTTTTAATGAAACCCATGAGAGTCAGGGCATTATCTGGCTATTACTCAAGATTACATTCTAAGGAGAATGAGTTATAAATTACCAATTGGTTTCTTTTTATTACAGTTAAATGAGTCTTAACATGGGTCTTATGTTTCTAATAATTTCCACTATGGCATCAAGTGAAGTATACCATGAGTACTGGGCTCCCTTCCATGTAAAATCATGTATATTAAAAAAATAAATAAATAAATAAATAAAACCATGTTTATTTATTCGGGATGGTCTGGGTTACTGGATAGCCAGGCCATCAGTAACAGGCATCTAGAGGGCAGGGGGGCAGAGTAGAAATAGAGGGGCAGTTGTTCTCCAACAGTGCTGCCTTGTCATCAAACGTTAAGGTTTGATATTGATATGGCATTATAAAAATATGTTAGAGAAAGCAGTATAAAAGTAGGAACTGGTCCCTTCCATACATAACTGAAACGTTAAGTAGCCAGACTATGCACCAAAGAAAGCAGTGAAAAGAAGGCACATTTTAACGTATTAACTCCTTCCCCAGCCAACAGAGGACATCTGTGTGGCCCCAGGCCCCATTCTCAGTAGCCTCGGTGATACCTTCTTCTGTGCCTGCTGCCCCAGTGTCAAAAAAAGGGCCACTTCCCACTGATAGAGCCTGCAACTCCCTGGCAAAGGTCCATAATGTGCACTAGATTCTCTGAGGGATCCAAGGCCAAAAAATAAAAAAATAAAAAACCACTGGTGACAGCCAAGTAGTACTCCAAAAATAGTAAGAAATTATATTAGCTTTTAAAAAATCATGAATCATCTATGACACGAAAGTCAGCATTTTGACAGTAAAACAATCACTAAAATCTAAGTCTAGCCCCTGCCAACAGCTTTGTCAGCATGTTTTTTTTTTTTTAAAGATTTTATTTATTTATTCCTGAGAGACACAAAGAGAGAGGCAGAGATACAGGCAGAGGGAGAAGCAGGCTCCCTGCAGGAAGCCCAATGTGGGACTGAATCCCAGGACCCCAGGATCACGACCTGAGCCAAAGGCAGAGGCTCAACCACTGAGCCTCTCAGGCACCGTGTCAGCATGTGGCTACTCCCCAGCAGCTTGATGGAATGGAGTGGACTTATAGTCAAAAACTCTGGATCTTTTCACTCCACCTCCTCCTGCAAATATACAACCAACTGTTGTGCCCGAGATTGCGAATCCGAGAAACCACCGAGGAGCCGACACCGATGCAAACACACGAGGGTTTATTTACAAGCTCGAGCTTGGGTCCAAGTATACCTGACACAGGGGAGCAGGGACTTGCACCCCGAGACTAAGAGGCGTAGCAGCTTTATAGGGGCCAGAGGTCAATGGGATACGCAGAAAGTTGCACAGTCATGTCGGTCCACACGCAGGTGGCTGATTGAATTACATTTTACTCTAAAGTATCCATTTGAACTGGCCTATCACTGAGCCGATTTCCGATTAGGGCGTGCCCTGGGCTTGACTAGGGTGGGGCAGTGCCCTAAGCAGGTCGGCACAAGGCAGGTGCAGCACAAAATGGAGTCAGTCCTGCTCTGCTTGTCCAGGGGTAGGGGATTTTTGTTAAATTTCCTGGGTCCCACACCAACAACTTTAAAAAGAGACTTTGAGAAAACCACGGATAAAACTTCGAAGGCAAATTTTGCTCCACATTTCCAATCAAGGTCTACTATGTGAAGTATAAATTCATTTCCAACTAATAGGGATTGCTTTAGGTAGAGATATTTTTCTGCCAAAGAGCTTTAAAAAAAAAATTTAGCCTCAGATATCACCAACAGGTGATAGGAAATAGGTGAGAGAGAGAGAAACATATTCAACAAAACTATGAGGATAAAATCAGCCAATCCAAAATCTGGGGAATTCAAAAGGACAAATGACCCAGTGTTTTCAACGAGCCCAGGACGTGGAATGAAAGGTGGTGGGACAGAGGAAACTTTTATACTAGAAAGAACAAAAAAACCCCACAAAATTTGAGACATACCAGCTAAATGCAGTGTGCAGGATTTGTGTATTCCAGCTTCAAACCAACAAAAGACCTCTTTGAGATAACTGGGAAAATTTTAACATGGCCTACTATATGGATGGTATGGATTAATTACTGTTTATTTTGTTGGGTGCAATCACAGTGATCTGGATATACTAAACTTTCAAAAGATCCCATATGTTAGAGCATCATTTAAAGTACTGGATTTGCTTTACAATATTCCGTATTGTATTCATGAAATATTATGCAACCAAAAAGTAAATAAAATTAAGAAACTAGGGGATCCCTGGGTGGCTCAGCAGTTTGGCACCTGCCTTTGGCCCAGGGCGTGATCCTGGAGTCCCGGGATCGAGTTCCACGTCGGGTTCCCGGCATGGAGCCTGCTTCTCTCTCCTCCTGTCCCTGTGCCTCTCTCTTTCTTTCTCTACATCTATCATGAATAAATAAATAAATCTTAAAAAAAATTGAAAATATATTTAAAAAATAATTAAGAAACTAAAGATATATATATATATATTCACGAATTTGCAAACAGTACATACAAACGCAAGTGGAAAATAATGTTTCAGATGAACAATTTCCTCCAGGGAACCACAATGCTTCAGCTTAGCTGAAGGTCAGCATAACATTTTCAGGGTTAGATTATTTAGGAATTATGCTATCAGATCTGCTTTGGGCTGAACTGTATTCCCTCCAAAATTCATTTGTTGTAGTGCTAACCCCCACTACCTCTGAATGAGACTGAGTTACACTAGGTGATAGGGTCTTTAAAGAGGTCATTAAGTTAACATGGGGTCATCAGAGTAAAACCAAATCCAATAGGACTGATACCCTTATCAAAAGAAGACATTAGGACACACACAAGTATAGAGAGAAGACCAGGTGAGGACACAGGGAAAGAGTCATCCATCCACAAGTCCAAGGAGAGAGGCCTCAGAAGAGACAACCCTGCTTGCTGACACCTTGATCTTGGACTTTATCCTCCAGAACTGTGAAAAAATATACCTCTGTTGCTTAAGCCACTCAATTTGTGGCACTTATTATAGCAGCCCTAGCATGATTTTTTTTTTTATTGGATCCTTCTTTTACCGTACCTACTTGGCAACAAACCACCAGAAAGAGGAATGGTTCTAAATGTATGGGCATTATAGTTTCTCATGTACAGTGTTTAAAAAAATATATAACACTGCTGAAACTCTGATCACTGAAGCATTTAATGCATCCATGTGGACAAGGAAACAGCCCAAACCATACTACTGATGGCAGAATGAATCAAGATCCAGATGAGAGTTTAGCTTCAGTGATCATACTGCCCCTCATACTCTGGGAGCTTAGAAATGACATGCATACCAAAAACTTGGCAATGTCTTCTGACATCAACAGAAACACTCTTAGCTCAGACACAGCCATTCCTCATAACCGAAGGAAGTGCCAAGGTAATTGTCTGGTAAGATCAAAGCTCTCAAAGCTTCCTACAGAAAGTAGAGAACTCCAGCTCCTCCTGTACAAGCAGGTTGTGGACACCCACAAGACAGACAAGGAAGGAGTCAAGTATTACCTCTGACCAGAATCCTGATCTGGTAACAAAAGGTGGTAGAAGTCCAGCGCCAGACTGTCTGCCAAAGTCTTTTTATATGCATTATCTCATTCAATCTTAATCAAGAAGTAAAAGCCCAGGGGATGGGATGGGGTATCTGGGTGACAGGTATTCAGGAGGACATGTGATGGAATGAGCACGAAGTATTACAGATGAATCACAGACCCCCTCCCTCTGAAACTAATAATAAACTATATGTTAACTAATTGAATTTAATTAAAAATAAATAAAATTAATAATTAAAGAAATAAAAGAAGAAAAAGCCCAGAGGATACCTCTGTTTCCATCAGCCCCACATCTGACCTGCCCATATCCACAAATAATCTTTAAAAGTCTTTTGGAATTCAGAATGGACAGCTGGTGTTTGAACACATCCAAACTATATCTGAATTCATACCTATACTTTTTCTAGCACTGTGTCATTTTTACTTTAATTTGAAATCAGTCAATGAACTTCAGAATCACCAACTAAATGAGATAGATGGCAGGGAGTGGGGGCACCTGGGTGGCTCAAGGGTTGAGCACCTGCCTTTGGCTCAGGTCCTGATCCCGGGGTCCTCCCCATAGGGAGCCTGCTTCTCCCATTGTCTATGTCTCTGTGTGTGTGTGTCTCTCATGAATAAATAAGTAAACTCTTTAAAAAAATTTTTTTAAAATAGGGCAGCCCAGGTGGCTCAGTGGTTTAGCACTGCCTTCGGTCCAGGGCATGATCCTGGAGACCCGGGATCGAGTCCTGCGTCAGGCTCCTTGCATGGAGCCTGCTTCTCCTTCTGCCTGTGTCTCTGCCTCTCTTGTCTCTCATGAATAAATAAATAAAATCTTTTTTAAAAATTTAAAAATAAATGAAATAAATGGGAAGACTAAAAAATGCTGCAGTCCCAACACTCACATTCAGTCTGTGGTAAAGTAGCAAATGTCAAGAATGACAAATGTATTAACGCGGATGCTTTTCTGCAGAACAGACCATCTTATTCTTAGAAAATACACAGGGCTTCTTCAAGAATGCCATCTTTCAGATGTCATCGTGAAAGGGGACTTTGAGCAAGCCATCTAAATTTGACCCAGCAAGACGGACAGAGCTCTACTTTCTGTGCTCTTAGAATCAGGACCCTACAAGAGTCACAAGTGGACTCCCCATCTCATTGATTTTGTTTCTACCTAATACACCCACTCACTAAAACCTCAGTTTCATCTATTAACAAAAAAAAGTACTTCCCCTGCCGTAGACAGAAAATCCCCGATCCTGAGATTAAGCCAAAAGTAAAGTACTTGAAGAGAAGGGGAGCCGGGGTTGAGGGTGGGAAGGGTGGAATGGGTCAGGAATCAACACTAAGCAACCCAAATTCTTGCTACCTGGAGTGTGACAAGCAGAAAGACTGTGGCTGTGATGCATAGGCAAGAAGCCAAAAGCCTCCTCCTCTGAATCCACACCATGCTGCCCGGCCCTGGGTGACTGACAGAGGGCGAGCCTGGTTACCAGGTGTTCTCGAGTCGGCCCACAGCCCAAGACAACTTCACGCAGAGGAACCATCTGGGTGCCAATTTCTTCCACTGTCATTCCTGCTGGGACCTGGTCTCCATGAAGGATTGAGATCCGAGGTTCTGTGCGGGTCTGGCTTGGCATCGAGAGGGAACAGCATGCAGTCGTCTTAAGCTATCATCAGAGCAGCTGGAGATTCTTCAAACCAGAAGGCGTCAAAAAATTCTGTAACAAATGAATAATCTTTTAGCCATAATACAGAAGATTTAATAAATGCGGTCTTTCAGGGTTGTCACATAGACAGCCGACACTTTAAAACTAAAAGGAACCTTTGAGAGCCTACATACTTTACTCCTAGATAATGAAACCAAAACCAGAGCAGGAAAGTGACTTGGTCAAGGTCACACAGCACATGAGAAGACTATGACAGGTCCACAATTAGGTCCTGAATCTAAATTTCTGTTTCCACTTAATTTTCTCTGCCATCATCCACAAATCACTTACATGGAATCACTTCCTAGGTTTCAAAGGAGTAGAAAAGTGAAATAGAAATTACCACAATTGGGGCTCCTGGGTGGCTCAGTTGGTTAAGCGTCTAGCTTGGTTTCAGCTGAGGTCATGATCTCAGGGTTGTGAGATCAAGCTCTGGGTTGGGCTCTGCGCTCAGCAGGGAGCCTGCTTAAGATTCTCTCTCTCCCTTTACCTCCCCCATGCATGCTCTCTCTCTCTCTCTCAAAACTGAAAAAAATTACCAAGATTATCCACCCACTCCTGTAAAAATTAGGAAGATACTAAATAAAAGTTTCAGGCTTGGTTTGAAAATAGATCATGATCAACTGACCCAAACTTTCCCTAAGGAAAACAACTTCAGCCACAACATAAGGAATTCTGATTATTGATGTATTTGTTCAGTCTTTTATGGCAAGTGTAACAAAGCAGTGGGTTGTGTGAGCAATATGATTCTCTGTAAGTTCTGAAATAAGATTTCCATCTGTCTGGAATGTATGATCTTTTCAAAAAGTTTAAAGATGAACTAAAGAGTTCCTAAGAATGCCTTTTATTCCCAGGGTTCTGTGCAGTCAAATGTCTTGGTCAAATGACCCAGTGGAGTTTCAGGATACAGCAGGGATCAACATTCCTGAGTCAGCTTTACAGGACTCCAAAAACCTGGTTCTGAGATCTGATTGAACATCTCCCAGATATAAAGATATAATTAGAAATATAAAAATGAGGGCACCTGGATGGCTCAGTCAAACATCTGCCTTCTGTTCAGGTCATGATCTCGGGGTCCTGGGATCAAGCCCCCACATCAGGCTCCCTGCTTGGTGGGGACCCTGCTTCTTCCTCCCCCTCTACCTGCTGCTCCCCCTGCTTGTGCTGTCAAATTAATTAATTTAAAAAAAGAAGTATATAAATGATATAGAATTCTGGTTAAAAAACATTGGCCTTAAAGGTGTACTTCCCTCTAGTGCATCTACCTTGATTTACTCCCTAAGTCCAGGATAAGTTCCTCAAGCAACAAAATGACTCTTGCTTTCAGAAATCACTGATGCTGTGTTTTTCCTCTTTTACCCACGGAACTCCTGCAATCCACAGTGACTAAGAGGAAAGGTTCTCGAGTCAGCCCTCCAGGATGCAAATCTCAACTCCCCAGCTGGTTTAACCTAGCCTCTCAATATCTCAATTTCCAAAAAGTAGACAACAAGGGTGCCTAATCAGGAAGTTATTGAGCATTATATGAGATAAGAATATTAGAAGACTTATTTCAGAGTGTGGTGCATAGATGTCCAATAAACCTTTTGCTATCTTATTCTTAAATATTAATTACAATTTTTTATTATACTTTTAAGTGTAAACTGAAGCTCAATTCATATAAAGTATGTTGCTGCCCAATAAACTGGAACTTCAGAAAGAGAAACATCCACTTTGCCAAAGAAAAGTAGATCACTAATATTTGTTGAGTGACCTATTGTAAGCAAGGCCCTTCCTAAGTGCTCAGCATGCATGAGATCATTCGACCCTCCCACAACTCTATGAAGGAGCAATTGTCCTCATTATTAGGGATGAGAAAACCAAATTTGAATAAAGTCACTTATCCAACACTACAATTTCGATAAGTACTACAACCAGAAACTAGTCACACTCCGAGGTTCATGCATCCTTTTATATTTTTTAACACTAAGACTATGAAATTCCCACCCAATAATACTAACACAGATTATTCGTCTTAATCAGAGTGGAAAAAAACTGTATACAGTCACCCTCCATCAGCCAGTATACCAGAGAAAAAAGTAACAAAAATCTCTAAGAACCTGAAAAGTGCCTTCCCGTCTACTCAGTTGATGCTAGTAGCTATTAACTACCTAAAATGTGGAGATAGCACGTAGGGTTTCAATCCTAGCTCTGCCATTTATACATAATACAAGTTTGGACAAGTTATTAAATCTAAGCTTCGGTTTCTTCACAGTAAAAACTAAACGTTACCTGTTATTATTTCTTTGCCTTGCATAACAGGAAGGCAATCCAATTTCTGTTTTATATGCACAGGCAATTTATTATAGACATAATTAATGTACTCTGCATTAGGTAATGAAATATTACCACCTTAAGTGGGTATAAAACTCTATCATCTTCAGAAGATTTTAACATATATCATTCCACTCAATCTTATGGAAAATCCCTTTGTAAAGTAAGCAAGGTAGGTTTTATTCTCAGTTCCCACAAATAAGGAAACTGAGCCTCTGTAAGTTTAAGTGATAGGCCCAAGATCGTAATTTTGAAAGGTTAAAGTGGGTTTAGAGATCAGGTCACCTGTCTCCAGGCTCCCAGGAAAGGAAAGAGGTGAGGGAAACATTGACCTCTTGTTAGGGTCAGTAATAAAGGATAACAAAAGATAGGAAGAGAATGGGAAGACAGAGTTTGGCGTATTTTTACAGCTACCACAATGCTCTCCTAGAGTCTGTCCTAAGTAGGGCCTTTTTAAGTCTTTCCATGGCTTATGACAGAATAATTTAAGGTTACAAATTCCCTTTCATCCAAAGAATCTCGATTTAGCTTATACTCCCAAAGCCAGAGGTATAATGAGGTCTCAGGGACCCAGCTGTGGTTAAATACCCACCACTCTAGAGAATAGAGCCAGTTAGTATAGATGGTATTACAATTTATAGCATGCAGCAACCGGCCAGACGTTGAGGCACATCAATCTAATATATGGTATCAATTACCCAGGAGCCTGTCATCCAGTAACCAGTCCCCCCACTGGTGGGACAGATGGGCTTGGAGAGCGTGGTGAAAGTCAGTAAGCACCTTGCAATGGGACTCCAGGAGGAAAGCAGCTCCCTCCTGTTTCATCACCTCCTGCAAGGTGAATCTCAGAATCCACCAAGAGGATGCCCCAGAACCCTCCTTGCCTGGTGAAGCAATGTGTGTTTGTTCAGACAACCATGGTAGGTAACATCTGAAATGGACGCTCGCTAACCAACCTTCTTGACCCTGGAGCTGAGCTCCGGAAATGCAGTTTTCAGCTTGTGTGCACTGCCTGGGGCTGGCCATCTGCTGCCCAGAGTGGAGTCTGAAGCTCAGCGTGACTACCTCACACTCCTGCAAGCACTAGTCTATCAAAACCGGCAGTACCTTCACCCTAAAAGAATTTCAAATTTCTCCATTTTGTTTTGAATTAAAACAGACAGAGGAGAGATCTTAAGGCAAATTAGCAGTCTAAGGATGCCAGCTTCCAATTTCAGCCTTGCAGTGCCTGTCAGTCCAAAGTACAGGGTAAGGGTCTCAGAAATGGGACTCAGGAGATGATTTCTACCCTGCATCTTTGAGGATAAAGTGAGAAGGTAACCCTAGGAGATGTGCAAGGTGTTCTGAGCCAGACACTTTGTGTGTCTCTATCTTTCCTCCCTGTCCCCGTGGCAGGAGGAAAGAGGCGAGGCAGATGCTGGGAGCTCTTAGAAGCCTCCTTTGATCATCTCTCCTCTAGAAATTGGTGTGTCAGTTGAGTTAAAAAGCAACCAACGGTCTAAATAGAGCTTAAGGTTTTACCAGAGAGTCTTTAAAAGGAATGTATCTAATTACCAGGCTTAGATTATACCCACTAAGATGTAATTTCTCAAGTAGGTTTGACTCTTTCAAAATATGTTTTCATTTTATAATGTATAAATCCTCACAATATCCCTCAAACATGGCTGTCCTGAGAAAGACAGATCATGGTAGGCTGGTGGGAAGGTGTACGGGCCTTTGGACAACTCTCTATGTGTTTTTAATCAGTCCCTTCAACTACTTGTCCTCTGCAATACTCCTCTTTTTTTTTTTTTAAAGATTTTATTTAACACGAGATGAGCACTGGGTATTATATGTTGGCAAATTGAATTTAGATTTAAAAAAATATATTTTATTTATTTATTTGAGAGAGAAAGTGTGCACAAACAGGGGGAACAGCAGAGCTGAGCCGGGAGCCCTGACGTGGGGCTCAATCCCAGGACCCTGGATCATGAGCTGAGCCAACAGCAGACGCTTATCCGCTTAACTGACTGAGCCACCCAGGCGCCCCAACACTCCTCTTTCATTCCTATTTGGTTTCTTCAAAACCCTGACAACTGGTATTCCTACCAGTCTGACCCCTTGCACTCTCCATTTGACTGTAGTTGTTTCTGGAATGTAAACTGGATCTCTCTCCTCTGATTAAAATCTATCAGTGGCTTCCCACAGATTTCAAGATAAAGATCAAATACATTAGCTTAGAAAACAAGACTCCCTGGACTCTGCCCTACTTCTCCAGCTTCCACCACAACATACCCTTTGTTCCGACTATTCATGGAATGTAGCTTCCTGTTGTGTGCTCTAGTCCCCACCTATAACCACATCTCTTTCACTATCCTAGCCATTCTCCTAGACGGTCCAGGCCACCTGTGCCGGCAAGCCTTACCCCTCCCAATGCCAAGTTGGGAGATGTAGGTCCCTATCATTGTGCTTGTTTCTATCACAGCAGTGGAAAGAACACAGGAGGCTAGGAGAGTTCACGAAATTTTCTAAAGTCATTTTATTGGATGCATGTAACACAGTTGTTGAATGTTAAAAAGTTGACGTACTCTGTTAACTTGCAGACTTCCTTGGTGTCTGTGCCTGTTGCTTGGGTACCTGGTGAACATGGCATGGTAGTTCCAGTTTCCATGTTCCTACAAATTTCTTTTTCATTTTTTTAAGAGTTTTTATTTATTTATTCATGAGAGACACACAGAGAGAGGCAGAGACATAGGCAGAAGGAGAAGCAGACTCCCTGCGAGGCGACCGATTTGGGACTGGATTCCAGGACCCCAGGATCACGACCTGAGCTGAAGGCAGATGCTCAACCACTGAGCAACCCATACGCCCCCTCCAATTTTCTTTATTTATTGGTGTTCGTTTTCCTCCTTTTTAAATAGACTTCATATCTTGCTAAGCATTTATTTTTACTAGAGTGCTTAGGTTTGCAGATTGCAGATTTCTATCTGGGAAGGTCATGCTCTTCCACCAAGCACACCTTTCAGGTGAGACAGATAAAGAATAAGGAGATAAAGGAATACTAGCCATCTCATGAGGCAAGGCTGGTGATTAACGGTGGGGAGGGGAATAGAATTTGCAGCCTGAGACCTTCACATCTCCCTTATAGAACTTAAGGTGATGCCATTCTTAAACTCTTAAATTCTGGCCATGCTGAAGCATTCAGATTATGCAGTATTAATTAATACAATCTCATTTAGTGGGTCTACTTAACATAGAAACTAAATTAAAACATACCCAGACCAAAAAAAAAAAAAAAAAAAAAAAAACAGAAAAGACTGATATGAAGCCCCAAATAAAAGCATTCAAAAAGAATATTTTTTTTAATGGAGGTGAGGATACAATATTGAAGATCTGTCCTGCACTAAGAATTTAAGAATTTAGCCAGCTCCTGAAGAGCAATACCTTCTCATCTTTTTCCTTTAAGATCTTCTTAGTAACTGTTCTTTCTCCAAGAAGGGTTTATTGGTTATAATGTAATAACCTTCCTACCTGGAAAAAGATTTGAATTAAAATCCTTCATCTGAAAAAAAAAATCCTTCATCTGCCTTTCATCATTTACCTAATCATGAATGAGGCACTGGTTAAATAATATCAACACAGTAAGGCTAAGACTTCACATGTCCAAAGACAAAGGGCTGAACCAGGTGATCTCCTGGGGTCTCATCCCAAAATGAAGCTCTCTGATCCCACAAATAGTGTCCAGGAGCAAAAACTCTCCATAGAAGAAAGACTGATAAGTAAAGAGACCGTGACCAAGACAATTTGAGTCATGATAAACTAAGATTTCTGTAAATATAAAGAAATATTTCTATATAACAAGCTTAGGATTACTTTATCTTCATTCTCTGTTATAGTAATTCATCATTAACTTTTGAAAACTCAAATTTTATTCTCAAAGAATATCTGAAAAACATTGTAAATAAAGACAGATTTTTTTTAATGTTTAACAACCAATGTTCAGTAACACTAACAATGTTCATTGGGAAGTGCTGGTAATTGAATCAGGTACTGCATTTCCACTGAAATCAACACTCTATATTCCACATTTAGAAAGCACTTAAACATGGGTTGGAAATGTCCGCATTTGAGCAATACTCACATATATGAATAATATTATTATTTGTCCAGACTATGCCCTTGTTCTTTATTTTCTTAATTTAACACTAGTTTGAATTTTTAAAAGTATACTGTTTGTAGGATATACAGTTTTTTAAAATGAATAATAAAATATAAGCCATAATCCCAGTAATAGTTAAGGCTGTGTATTTAATTCACTGTTACACACTGCCACCTAGCAGGAAGCCAGCAAAGGAAGAGTTACTACAGCAGTTTCAAAAACGGAGCGGACCTTAAGGAACGTCTGACTCTAGGACATTGCCTGTGGCTTGCAGACGGAAGGAGAAAGTTCTGAAATTGAGTGCTTCTAGATTGGTGACTCTGCCACTTTAGTGTGCAAATACCCGGGGATGCTTATTCAGAGCGATAGCCATGACCCACCTCTGAGGGACCACGGGGTGTACAGAAACAATGCCCTAGCTGTAGTGTGACATCACTAGCAAGCCCAAGATTGGTCATGAGCTCCTGGGTTGTCTCAAGGTGAGGGGAGGAAGGGCGTACAAAGAAAACGGGGTCAACGAGGTCGTGAAGACCAACTTGCCATACAGAAGAACACTGGAGGAGGCCAGAGCCCATACACTCCGCAAACGAAGTCAACCAGCCAAGTCACCGCAACGCATTTGAGGGAGCTGAGGCCGTGAACAGGGGGCAGTCTGTTGGAGCTGTGATGCTAAGGAAAACGGTCATTTTGCATGACACTTGTAACATAGTAAAGAATCATTAAAAGATCCCCAGGAAGGGATATCTGGGTGGCTCAGGGGTTGAGCATCTGCCTTCAGCCCAGGGCGTGATCCCAGGGTCCTGGGATGAGTCCCTCCACCCCCCACTCCCGCCCCAACGAGCTCCCTGCATGGAGCCTGCTTCTCCCTCTGCCTACGTCTCTGCCTCTCTCTCTCTGGGTCTCTCATGAATAAATAAATAAAATATTAAAAAAAAAAAAGATGCCCGGGAAATGAAAATGACATCCATGTTATCTCTCCGTCTTCTACAAAATGAGTTTTATTCTGAAGGCGCTAATGGGGTACAAGAATAGGGAAGAAATGGATTGCGGATGGATAACCAAAGCCGGCCCTTCTGGGGGCTCTCCACACACATACACATACACCCCAACACACACACCCCAGGGACACACACACACGCCCCAGGCACACACACACACACACACACCCCAGGGACACACACACACACCCCAGGCGCGCGCGCACACACACACGCCCCAGGGACACACACACACACCCCAGGGACACACACACACGCCCCAGGCACACACACACACACACCAGGGACACACACACACACGCACACACACACCCAGGGACACACACACGCCCCAGGCACACACACACACACACACCCCAGGGACACACACACACACCCCAGGGACACACACACACACACACACGCCCCAGGGACACACACACACACGCCCCAGGCGCACACACACACACACACACACCAGGGACACACACACACACACACACACACACACACCAGGGACACACACACACACACACACACACACACACGCCACAGGGACACACACACACACGCCCCAGGGCGTTTTTCTCCTTTCAATCCGCGATGCTCCTCTAGCTGGGCGGTCAGAGCCGCTCCCACGTGAGCACACAACTCCAGCAACAAGTGATTCTCCGTGAACGTGGGCGGGGGAGCAACCCGCAGCCCCCGGGGCGGGGCTCGCTCCGGAGCCGGCGGGCGGCGCGGGGGCGGCGGAGGGGAGCGGCCTCGACTGCCGGGTCGCCCGCGCCTGCCCGCGCCTGCCCGCGCCTCCCCGCGCCTCCCCGGGCTCCTGCGCGGCCCCGGCCTCCCACCTGCGCTTTTCAGCCCCGAGGAGGCTTCCCTCGCGGGCAGCGGCCCCCAAAGCGCTGCCCGGGGCTTCCCGAAACGGACCCGGCTCCCTTCCCGGCGCACAGGCCCGTCTTTCCCTGCGACACGCTCGCTCGGGCACCGCGGCGGGGACGCGGAGCGCGCGGGGGCTGCGGGCTGCCCGGCCCGGGGCCGCCCGACGGGACGCGGCGCCTCCCACTCACCTGGGTCTCGGGGGAGGAGGCCGCTCCGTGGCCCGCAGCCCCGCCGAGTGGCACTTTCAGTTTGCGCCCTGCCCGAGCTGGGGCGAAGACTCGGAGAGGAGGTTGGGAAGGGGGGGCTAACGGCCCGGCCGCCCGCCCGCCCGGGCCCCGCGATCCTCCATCCGGGTTTTCCCCGGTGCCGGCTTGGGAGCCGGGGGCCGGGGTTCCCGGGAGCCCGCGGGCCTCGCCTCGGGGGGGCCAGGCCGGCTGCTCGGAGCTCCCGGGACGCTCCTGCCAGGCTCCTGAGTAGGTCGTGGGACGCTTCTCGGACTCGGCTAGCACGAGGCCAATCCCGAGTCACCTGTGCAGGAAAGCCGAGAACACGGTAAGCGAGCAGAGCCCCGGGCGCCTTTAACCAGGTGCCCCTGCTTGGTAGACGGAGCAGGATGGCCATTTGCCCGTAAAAATGCCCAGCAGGCTACCGAATTCCAAAATCGGAGAACGCAACTAGGATTAGATTTAGAACCCAGCCTGCAGGGAGGTGATAAACGTAGGGAGGTAATGCAAGACCTTGGCAGAGCCAGGGCTAGGGTGAGGCAAGTGAGGCATCCGGGGCTCGAAGTAGGAGACGAGACGCTGACTGGGCCACGGCAAGTGCGGGGCCCCCTTGCAGGAACCTAGAGCCATCGCTGCCCTAGGCCTGCCTCACAGTACCCCTGGCCCTGAGAGTTCAGTTCCAGTGCCAAGCACCTCAATTAACTTCTCTACAGAAACTGGTTGATAATATTATCAATTTCAAGAAACACCGAAAACAAAGGAGAAGCTTGATAAATCGGTTATCATCACAGAAGGCAAATTCTGTTCATCATAGACACTATTGGTAGAAAGGAAGACAATCCAGAGTAAAAGATATTTGCAGTTGACTTATCTAAGAAAGAATTTATATCCAGGATGTAGCCAAGAATGCCTATAATTCAATAAGAAAGAATCAAAACAGTGACCTAATAAAAATCGCCCCTGGGGGGCTCCTGGGGGGCTCAGTCCGTTAAGCATCTGCCTTTGGGCTCAGGTGGTGATCCTAGAGTTCTGGGATCCAGTCCTGCATCAGGCTCCCTACTCAGTGTGGAGTCTGCTTCTCCCTCTACCCCTCACCCTGCTTGTGCTCCCTCTTTCTCTCTCACTTTCTTTCTCTGTATCTCAAATAAATAAATAAAATCTTTAAAAAAAAATCTCCTCTGGGGAGGAAGGAACTAAAGACTTACCAAGACTTATCAAGGAAGACTCTGAAGCCAGTAAGTATGTGAAAAGATGCTTAACTACTTTTGTCATCAGAGAAATGCAGATTAACACAACACTCATATACTACTACACATCTGCCCATCCCAAAATTAGCATGGAACCACAAAAGATCTGGAATAGCCAAAGTGATCTTGAAAAGAGCAAAACTGGAGGTATTACAATCCCAGATTTCAAGATATAAAAGCTAGAGTAATCAAAACAGTATGGTACTAGCATAAAAATAGCCACATAGGTGAATGGAACAGGATAGAGAGCCCACGAAAGAAAGTTGTTACAATAAATGGTGTTAGGAAAACTGGACAGCTACCTACAAAACAATGAAACTGGACCACTTTCTTACACTATACACAAAAATAAACTCAAAATGGATTAAAGACCTAAATATGAGACCCAAAACCATAAAACTCCTGAAAGAAAACATAAGCAGCAATCTCTTGGACATTGCCCTTAGCAACACATTTAAGGGTATGTCTCCTGAGGCAAGGGAAACAAAAGCAGAAAATAAACAATTGGGACCACGTCAAAATAAAAAGCTTTTAATAGCAGAGGAAACCATCAATGAAGCCAAAAGCCAACCTAGTGAATGTAGAAGACATTTGCAAATGATATGCCAATAAGGGATTAATATACAAAATATATAAAGAACTTACACAACTCAATACCAAAATAACAATCCAATTAAAAAGTGGGCAGAGAGGGACACCTGAGTGGCTCAGTGGTTGAGTGTCTGCCTTCGGCCTGGGTCGTGATCCCGGGGTCTTGGGATCGAGTCCTGTGTTGGGCTCCTTGCATGGAGCCTGCTTCTCCCTCTGCCTGTGTCTCTGCCTCTCTCTCTCATATATAAATTTTAAAAATATTTTTAAAAAATAAAAAGTGGGTAGAGGACCTGAATAGACAGTTTTGCAAAAAAGATATCCAAATGGCCCGGCAGCCCAGGTGGCTCAGAGGTTTAGCGCCGCGTTTAGCCCAGGGCCTGATCCTGGAGATTTGGGATTGAGTCCCATGTCAGGCTCCGTGCATGAAGTCTGCTTCTCCCTCTGCCTGTGCCTCTGCCTCTCTCTCTGTCTCTCTCTCCCCCTGTCTGACTCTCATGAACAGAAAAATACAAATTTTTTTAAAAAGAACGTATTTTAAGATATCCAAGTGGCCAACATGAAAAAAATTGGACACATGAAAAAATGTTCAACATCACTAACCACTAGGGAAATAAAAACTGAAACCACAATGAGATATCACCTCACACCAGTAAGAAAGGCCAGTATCAAAAAGACACAAAATGACAGGTGTTGGTCAGTATATAGAGAAAAAAGACCCACTGTGCACTGCTGGTGGGAATGCAAACTGGTGCAGCCACTATTGAAAACAGTATGAAGTTTCCTCAAAAACTTAAAAAATAAAACTGCCATGTGATCCAGTAATTGCACTTCTTAGTATTTATCTGAAGAAAATGAAATGCTAACTCAAAAAAGATATATAGTTGACCCTTGAACAAGGGGCATGCCAACCCTCCTCAATACATATGTGGTATATGTATTATATATTGTATTCTTACTATAAACTAAACTAGAAAAAATGTTAAAAATCCTGAGTAAAATACACTTATAGTACTATATTTATTGAAAAAGCACATGTAAGTGGATTCCCAAAATTCAAACCCATGTTGTTGAAGGGTTAATGGTATGCATCCCCACATTCATTGCAGCATTATTTACAATACCCAAGGATATGGTAAGAACCTAAATATCTATCAATTGATGAATGAATAAGAATATATATATATATTAGTAAAAGGAAGTATATATGAAGAAATAAAAATGGAATATTATTCAGTCATTATTTAAAAATGAAATCTTGCCATTTGTGACAATGGGAATGGACCTACAGGGGATTATGCAAAGTGAAATAAGGCCAAGAAGGACAAATATCATATGATCTCACTTACATGTGAAATTTTAAAAACAAAAATAAGGGCCCAGGGTGGTTTAATCAATTACGTGTCTGAATCTTGGTTTCTGCTCATCATGATCTCATAGGTCATAAGATAGAAAGCCCACACTAAGCACTGCATTGGGCTCCATGCTCAGTGGGGAATCTGCTTGAAGATTCTCTCCCCCCCCCTCAAATAAATAAATCTTAAAAATAATAAAAAACTAAAACAGAAAGGCAACAGAGCTCATAGAAGCAGAGAACAAAATGTTTGGGGGAGGGGGAGAAATGAGTGAAAGCAGTCAAAAGGTACAAACCTGTAGTTACAAAAATATCAGGGGGGCGGGGCGCCTAGGAGGCTCAGTCTGTTAAGCATCCAACTCTTGATTTCAGCTCAGGTCATGATCTCAGGGTCCTGAGATTAAGCCCTTGGCTCCTTGCTCAGCACTGCATCTGCTTGAGATTCTCTCTCTCTCTTCCCCTGCCTCCACTTGCACTCTCTCTCTCTCTCTCTCTCTCTCTCAAATAAATAAATAAATAAACTTTTAAAAAACAAGTCATAGCAGGCACCCCAGGTGACTCAGTGGTTTAGTGCCACCTTCAGCCCAGGGCATGATCCTGGAGTTCCAGGATGGAGTCCCATGTCAGGCTCCCTGCATGGAGCCTGCTTCTCCCTCTGCCTTGTGTCTCTGCCTCTCTCTCTCTCTCTCTCTCTCTCTCTCTGTCTCTGTCTCTCATGAATAAATAAATAAAATCTTTAAAAAAAAAAACAAAAACAAGTCAAAGGGACGCCTGGGTGGCTCAGTGGTTGAGCATCTATCTGCCTTTGGCTCAAGGCAGTGATCCCAGGGTCCTGGGATAGAGTCCCACATTAGGCTCCCTGCAAGGAGCTTGCTTCCCCCTCTGCCTATGTCTCTGCCTCTCTATATCTCTCATGAATAAATAAATAAAATCTCTTTTAAAAAAGTCATAGGGATATAATGTGCACATGGTGATTATAGTTAAAAATAAAAAGTATGTATTTAATATTTGAAAGTTGCTAAGAAAGTAGATCTTTAACATTCTTGTTAGAAAAAAATTGTTAATTCTATAGTGACAGAGGATAACTAGACTTACTGTGGTAATCCTCTTGCAATATACAGATATAAATCATTATTTTGTACTACTGAAACTAATATATGTCAATTATAAATCAGTTTTAAAAATTATTCAGGGACACCTGGGTCTGGTTAGGCATCTGCCTTCAGCTCAGGTCATGATCCCGAGGTCCAGGGATTGAGCCCCGCATCAGGCTCCCTGCTCAACGGGAAGCCTGCTTCTCCCTCTCCTCCCCACTTGTGCTTTCTGTCAATATATCTGTCTCTCTCTCTCTTTCTCCCAAATAAATAAGTAAAATATTTTTTAAAAAAATAAAAATAAAAAGTTATTCATTGGATTTACCTGTTGGTGGTGAGCAGGGAAGTGGTGTTCTTCTAAATCAAACTGAAAAATGTATCACTTTCCCTTCTTAAAACAGTTTGGGGAGTGCAGTGTGGTATACCTGGTGAGTACTGTCTAGCTTTTGGGTTCTACCACATTATTATTACTTCTTTAGAAGCTTCCTCCATTTATTTTTTTAAGTAATCTCTGCACCCAGGGTAGGGCTGACCACGCTATTGAACCAACCAGGCACTCCTCTCCCACATTATTTTAAACTTGATTTTTTTTTTAATTTTTTTTATTTTTTTATTTATTTATGATAGTCACAGAGAGAGAGAGAGAGAGAGAGAGAGAGGCAGGGACACAGGCAGAGGGAGAAGCAGGCTCCATGCACCGGGAGCCCGATGTGGGATTCGATCCCGGGTCTCCAGGATCGCGCCCTGGGCCAAAGGCAGGCGCCAAACCGCTGCGCCACCCAGGGATCCTAAACTTGATTTTATTAACATAAAAGAGCATGTGTGTGTGTGATATGACTGCCCTCTAGGTCTTTGAACCAGGGAAACCAAGTAGGTGAGTGAGAACAATCAAAAATTTTTATGAAGCAATGTAAACTATGCATTTAACACACCTCTGGTCCTCATTTACCTCCATTTTTCAAATGGGATAGTTTGCTAAAGGGTGATTTATTTGCTCAAGGATACTTAGTAAATAGCAATTGGTTTTTAGTGTTGTCTTAAAAAGATTTTTATTTATTTATTCATGAGAGACACACAGATTGAGGCAGAGACATAGGCAGAGGGAAAAGCAGGCTCCCTGCAGAGACTCGATCCCAGGACCCAGAGATCACAACCTGAGCCAAAGGTAGATGCTCAACCACTGAGCCACCCAGGTGCCCTGCAATTGGTTTTTATAACCTGAATTTGGCTTCAAAAACCACTGCCGAATAAATGGTTTCCAACAGGGTATTGTCTTTTCTTTCCTTCCTTCTTTTTCGAGAGAGACAGCAGAGGGGAGGGGCAGAGGGAGAGAAAAAGAGCAATCCTCAAGCAGACTCCCCGCTGATCAAGGAGCCCAAGTAGGGGCTGGATCCCGGGACCCTAATAACCTGAGTCAAATCAAGGCCAAGGCCTGAGTGAGCCACCCAGGCATACCTCCAGCAGAGTGGTTTCCACCTGCATGCAGCAAAATTGCATCACTTATGATATAATTATTATAATGTGATATGCAAGTTAAGGGCCCACCGTTATTCTGAGAGCGTGCCTTTTTTTTATTCTTTCGGCATTAAACTGCTCTTTAGAAAAACAGTGTGAGCTAATAAAGGTTTTCTTTTTCCCCTCAAAATAAAATTGGGGAAAACCTGTTAGCCCTCCCATCTTTTTCTTATTTTATTATTATCTAAGTCCATGAATTTCAAAGGTCAAGACCCAAAGCCACAGCAAACGGTTGGCGGGGTTTAAGCGAGGGGAAGTGAGGGCGGGAGCGGGGGTCTCTCCGGTGAAGCAGCTGCGGAGCGCGGGCCACGGAGTAAACCCAGCGCAGCTCCTGCCGCTAGGCGGCGCTACGGCCGGCAGAGACATAGGCACCACGGCGCGCTCCGGGACGGGGCGGGGGTCGGCGGCCAGGACACCCCGCAGGGGCGCTCACAGACCGCGCTCTGGAGCAGGGCGCGCCCAGAGCCCTCGGCCTCCGCGCGCCACGACTCGGCCGACTCCTGCGCGGGGGGGCAGGGCGCCGCTGGCCGGGTGGGGCGTCCCCGGGTGACACCGGGACCGGGCGGCGGGGCAGGCGGCGGTGCAGGCGTGAGTCACGCCACCACGGGGCGCTGTGCACGCCCGACCCGTGCGCACTCTCGCGATAGGCGAGACTAGGCTTCCGGAGGGGGTTTTCCGGAAGGAGCATGGCCGCCGCCGAGACCTGGCCAGGCTTCGCACGCTGAGCCGCCGGCGCCATGCAGTCCGATGATGTGAGTCTCCCGCGTGCCTGCCACCTGCGTTCTCCTGCCTTAGGACTCGGGAGCCACATACTGAGCTGGCGCGTTAGCCTCGTGTGGCTCCAGATCCGAGGCCCCCGGGACGCCGCTTTCCGAACGTGGGGCTCTCACGTGTCTGCCCGGGCTCTCCAGCCGGCGGCCCGAGCGGGGTGGGGGGCCGCGGCACGGGCGCTTCGGCCCTCGGGGTCGTCTGGGCCCGGCCGTGCTGCCCAGCCGGGAGGCGCTTGGCCTCTCGTGTCCCTGGACGTGGGAGGGGCGGCTGGGGCCGGGGGGGGGGTACGGCCGCGTTGAGACCTCAGGTTTAAGGATCCCTTTCTTCCACGTGTGTGTTGCCTTTAAATCTGCTTTTCCCGTCTTTGGTCTTTCTTTACGTTTGTTCCATTGTCCGCCTGCCCAAGTCATAATTTTTGGAAGCATCCTCGATCCTCATTTATTTAGTTATGTGTATGAGAAATACAGAAGTGCTTGCGGTGTGCCAGGTACTGTGGTAATTCCTGTGGATTTTTATTAGTTTTTAATAAGCCTGACAGAAGACCTCTGCTTTCCTGCAGCGCTCTAGTGGAGAAGGCAGACGGTGGGTAAACAGGGACCAAACTGAAAGCCGTTGTACTGTGTGCTAATTGTGTGAGAGGGGGACCTAACTAAGCTGGTGAAGCGGAGAGTGATTAGAGACCGCTGCAGACACAGCCGAAGGTTCGAGGGGAAGGTTTCCCTGAATAGAAGATATTTGAGCTGAGATCTGAAACGGGAGAATGAACCCTCATTGAGGGGCTTTGGGGCAGAAAAGGGGGGGGGGGAAATCCATGCAGTAAGAACAGTGAAGTGCAAAGATCTGGACGTAAGAGAGATGGAATATGTTAAAGAATACCGATGTTAGCCTTAGGGATTGAGGGAACAGAGAGGTAATGAAGTTGGGTTTGCTTGCAGGACAAGGTCCTATAGAGGCTTCTAAGGAGTGTTGTTAGGGCTGCTGATGGGAAACGACCCCTGACATTTTGGGGAAAGTTGTCTAGTTATTTGAAGGGGAGAAAGAATGAAAGCAGGGAGACTAGAGTATGATGAAAGTAGTTTCCACCAACGTAGTGATGGCGGAGAAGAAAAGAAGTGGGTGGATCTGAGGTCTGTATTTTCTGTGTAACCAAAAAGACTACATGATCCCCTCGATGAAGAGGGAAAGGGAAAAATCAAAGGGTTTTTGGATTTGAATAGTTCAGTGGTGGTTTCCTTTGTGGAGATGGGGTGGGAAACCGGTGTGTTGAGAGGTGTGGAACCCAGACCTTCCTTTGGATATGTTAACGTGGGAGACGCCTTTCTGACATCCTGGTAGAGATTTCAGGTTGGCAGTTGGTTGTAAATACAAGTCTGCCCAGGAGAGAAGTTTGACCAGTTGTCAATTTGGGAGTCACCTACTTACAGCCACAAGCCAGAATGAGCTATTGTCCGAGTTTCATTTCTTCTTACCTTCTTGTCATCCCCCACCAAACACACATACTATAAAATTCCCAAAATGTTATTTTATGTGTTTACCTTTATTTTTTACGTTTTAGGCTTTGACTTCTTTAAAGCCTTTCCCAGTTCCTCAGGGCAGCCCACTCAAAAGCTCTTAAAACTTCTTTTGTGGCACTTAGACTGCTGCTTTGTTTACATTTCCTTCTCCCTAAGTAGATAAAACTGTTTAAGGACTATCCCTTCCTTTATTCAACTAACACTTGAGTGCCTCCTCTGCTGGTGACTTAGGGATGTTAGTGTATTGATATAAATCTACAATCAATGCTGAAAGAGTAAGGAACACATTAGTTAGTAGAAGATAGCAGTAGATTATTTTTTTTCCCAGATGAGACCAAATTATACTATCTGTATCCCCAATCTAGTACTCTGCAGCCTTTTACAGTGGATAATGAACATATTAAGTAATAAAGGAAAGTTACAAAATATATAACATTTCATTTTTGTTAAAAATATAGGCATAGTGATTGGTGGAATGTACGTGCATAGAAGAAAATTGAAAACATTTACAAAATTCTAAATCTGTGGGTATTGGGTATGATTATTGCCAATTTGTATTTTTTTCTGCAAGAATCTGCATAAAAAGAAAAGTGAGACTTTTGCAAAGCATTTCTTCCTCTTCGCATTCTTCAAAGACCCAAGGAGACTTCTTCAGTAACCAGGGCATTGCCAGGCATTGTTTTCTTGAGTTAATATTCTCATCTGTTGAGTCAGAGCAATTGAAATGGATTTTACTTTGTCTTGCAGGTTATCTGGGATACATTAGGAAATAAGCAGTTTTGTTCTTTCAAAATAAGGTGAGTCTAGATTTGCAAGGTGGGCAAAGATTCCTTCAGTTGCCCTCCTGGTAACCCATCTTACAACTTTTGCTCTTTTCCTTCTGTTCTAGAACTAAGACTCAAAGTTTTTGCAGAAATGAATACAGCCTGACTGGACTGTGTAACCGGTCGTCTTGTCCCCTGGCAAACAGTCAGTATGCCACTATCAAAGAGGAGAAAGGTGACTCCTTAGTTTTAACTTCCATGAGAACTAGTCAACAGCTTTTAAAAGGATGTTCTTTAGTCTCTCTGTAAATAATATTAATGGTATTTACTTTATCTTGCAGGACAGTGCTACTTGTATATGAAGGTTATAGAGCGAGCAGCTTTTCCTAGGCGTCTCTGGGAACGGGTAAGACTTAGGACATAAAATCACAGTGACCTTAATCGGTAGCAAAATGCCCATGTTTTTCTCTTTTCTTTGACCATAGCTGGAGTAAACTTTTAATTAAGGTTTACTTGTTTGTGAGAGAGAGAACAAGGTGGGAGGCAGAGGGAGAAGCAGACTCCTCACTGAGCACAGAGCCTGACACAGGGCTCGATCCCAGGACCCTGAGATCATGACTTGGGCCAAAATCAAGAGTCAAATGCTTCACCTACTGAGCAACACAGGTGCCCCTGTATTAAAGTTTTGAAGCCAACCTCGTTAGGGCATATGGGTATCATTGCAGTGGAGACCCGGTCATTTACCCTTACTCTTTTTTTGTTAAGGTTTTATTTATTTATTTTGAAAGAACACACACACACAAGCAGAAGGAGCTACAGAGGGAGAGGGAGGTCAGGCTTCCCACTGAACAGGGAGTCCTACTCAGGGCTCCATCCCCGGGCCCCAGGATCATAGCTGAGCCGGAGGCAGGTGCTTAACCAACTGAACCACCCAGGTGCCCCCATTTACCCTTACTCTTTAAGCTTTCTTTTCTGTTTGATAGGTCCGGCTTCATAAAAACTATGAGAGAGCACTGGAACAAATAGATGAAAATCTAATTTACTGGCCCCGTTTCATTCGACACAAGTGTAAGCAAAGATTCACCAAGATCACCCAGTACCTAATTCGAATTAGAAAACTTACACTAAAGCGACAGTAAGTAAGCGATCATTCATTTATTATATTTATTTTCTTAAGTCTTTTTCCTTGGGTCACATTAGGAAGATGAGAGATTATGAAACCTTTAGTAATGCTTCTTATTAAATCCAATTTTGGGTAACCTTTTATGAGATGCTGACAAGAAGAAAGTTTACCTCTGGTTAAAATTGTGCCCTTTGATGTTCCAGGACTTAAAAAGCAGTAGAGTAGAACTTGATGATCTCCTCCCTGTCTAAAAAGCAGCTTCAGGAAATTTTCTCCCTGACAGAATCCTAAAATTAGGGTATTGACAGTGACCTAAAAAATGTGAATAAATAAAATTTAAGAACTTTACTCTGGATTCACTGAAAACTAATTTTTAAAAGTGTTATGAAATCCACAAAATTAATTGAATATCTTCCTAAGGAGTGATGGGTCCTAATACTTTTTCATTGGGACCTGCAGAGAAAACTAAAGATGGCAGTCTTCTACAGAAAATTCCTTTTCTTTGTTATCTGAAGCATTAACCTTAGCATAGTGAATGCCCTCAGAAGTTGCAGAATGCCTTAAGAAAACAAAAAATAAAATACACATTAAAATATGTGTAAAAATGTCTGACTTTTTGTAGCATTAAATACCTAGGAAATTGTTAAGTATATAGTCTTGGCTATATTGAGCTAAGCCCTACAAAATCAACTCCAATCCTTCTTTCTTCTCATTTTTTTTTTTAAAAAGGAACACACAGAATGTGCACTTGGGTTTTCTGATAATTTTTATTTTCTGTAGGAGGAAACTTGTTCCCTTGAGTAAGAAGGTGGAGCGGAGGGAGAAAAGAAGAGAGGTAACTTACCATTCTGGGACTCATAGCTTCTGTATTTCCATTGAGGTTGGGGTTGTGTAGGTAAGGATCATGAGACAGTCACCATTGTCTATGAACTGTTGGGGCCTTGAGTAATGGTTCCCTAATGGATAGTAGTATTAGTTGTATAAGATATCAGATATTCATATTTTAAGATTATGACTTTCAGAGCAGATTAAAATAAGGGTTCTTGGGCATGTATATAATGGAGAACAGAGAAATCCCTTGTCTGAAATTCTTGATGTTAAATGTTTCAGAAGTCAGAACTTCGGTTTGTTGCCGATCTTATACGTTGCATACTACATTCAGGAGGGTTTGAGCATCGTTTTTTTTTTTTTTTACGCCCATGGTAAAAACTCTAATTCCCATCTCCCCACTGAGCACCACTCTGGTAACAGTTTTCTATAGTTAAGAGTTTGTTTCCTGATTTGTATTTTTTTTTCCGTTCTTTTGTTTCTTAAATTCCACATATGAGTGAAATCCTATGGTATTTGTCTTTCTCTGACTTAACTTCACTTAGCAGGTTACATTCTAGCTCTATCCATGTCCTTGCATGGATTTCGTGGGTTTTTTTTTAAATGGCTGAGTAATTATATATATATATATATATACACACACACCACTTCTGTATCCATTTATCAATCAGTGGACATTTTGGCTATTGTAAATAATGCTGCAATAAACAGAGGGGTGCGTGTATACTTTTGATTAGTGTTTTGGTATTTTTTTGGGTAAATAGCCAATAGTGCAATGCCTGGCTTTTAGGGTAGTTAGGGTAGTTCTATTCTTAACTTTCTGAGGCATCTTCATACTGTTTTCTGAAGTGGCTGCACCAGTTTGCATTGTCACCAACAATGCAAGAGGGTTTCATTTGTTTCATATTCTCACCCACATTTTGTTTTCGTCTGTTACTGATTTTAGCCATTCTGACAGGTATGAAGTGATACCTCATTGTAGTTTTGATTTATATTTCCCTGATGATGAGTGATTTTGAGCATCTTTTCATGTGTCTTGTGGCCATCTAGATGTCTTCTTTGAAGAAATGTCTGTTCATGCCTTCTCCCCATTTTTACATTGGATTATTTGTGTTTTGGGAGTTGAGTTATATCAGTTCTTAGATAATAATCCTTTATCAGATATATCATTTGCAAATACTTTCTCCCATTTTGTATGTTGCCTTTTTGTTTTGTCAGTTGTTTCCTTTGTTGTACAGAAACTTTCTTTTTTGTTATAGTCTCAGTAGTTTGTTTTTATTTCCATTGCCTCAGGAGACATATCTAGAATAATGTTGCTATGGGCAGTGTCAGATTACTGCCTGTGTTCTCTTCAAGGATTTTTATGGTTTGGGGTCTCATTTAGGTCTTTAATCCATTTTGCATTTATTTTTGTGTTTGCTGAAAGAAAGTCCAATTTCATTCTTTTGCCAGTGGCTGTCCAGTTTTCTCAACATTATTTATTGGGCTTTTTCCCATTGTATATTCATTCCTCCCTTGTCAAAGATTAATTGACCATGTAATTGTGAATTTATTTCTAGGTTTTCTGTTCTATTCCATTGATTTATATCTATTTTTATGCTAGTACTATACTGTTTTAATTACTACCGCTTAGTGGTAGAACTTGAAATCAGGATGCCTCCAGTTTTGTTTTTCTTTTTCAAGATTCTTTTACCTACTCGAGGTCATTTGTGGTTCCCTACAGATTTTATGATTGTTCTAGTTCTGTGAAAAATGCTCTTGGTATTTTGATAGAGATTGCATTTAATGTGTAGCTTGCTTTGGGAACTATGGGCATTTTAACAGTATTTGCTCTTCCATGAGCATGGAATGTCTTTCCACTTTTTTGCATCGTCTTGAATTTCTTTCATCACTGTTTTGTAGTTTACAGAATTCAGGTCTTTCACCTCTTTGGTTAAGTTTATCCTTGATATTTTGTTTTTGATGCAGTTGAAAATGGGATTGTTTTATTTCACTTTCTGCTGCTTAATTATTTACGAATGAAGCAGGTTTCTGCACATTGATTTTGCAACTTTTCTGAATTCATTTATCAATTCTAGCAGTTTTCTGATGGAGTCTTTAGGGTTTTCTACATATATTATCATGTCATCTGCATAGAGTAAGAATTTTGCTTCTTCCTTACCCATTGGATGTCTTTTATTTCTTTGTGTTGTTTAATTGCTGTGACTAGGACTTCCAGTACTATGTTGAATGAAAGTGGTGTGGACATCCTTGCCTTGTTCCTGATCTTAGGGGGGAAACCCTCAGGTTTTTCCCCATTGAGGAAGATATTTGCTGTAGGTTTTTCATATATGTTGAGGTATGTTCCCTCTAGACCTACTTTGCAGGTTTCTTATCAAGAATGGATGTTGTACTTTGTCAAATTCTTGTTCTGTATGTATTGAAATAATTATATGGTCTATCCTTTCTCTGAATGATGTGATGTGTCATGTTGTTTTTGTGAGTATTGAACTACTCTACCCTTGCATGCTCAGAATAAATCCCACTTGATCATGGTATGTAATTTTTTTAATATAGTTAGATTCAGTTTGCTGATACTTTGTTGAGGATTTTTACATCTATATTCATGAGATTGGCCTCTAGTTCTCTTTTTTTGTAGTGTCTATATCTGGTTTTGGTATTAAGGTAATACTGACCTCGTAGAATGAATTTGGAAATTTTCCTTCCTCTTGTGTTTTTGGAATAGTTTGAGAAGAATGGGTATTAACCTTTAAATGTTTGGTAGAACAAGCCTATGAAGCCATCTGTTCTTGGACTTTTGTTTTTGGGGAGCATTTTGATTACTCATTCAATTTCATTGCTGGCTATTGGTCTATTCAAATTTTGTTTTCTCCTGCTTTAGTTTTGGTAGGTTATATGTTTCTAGAAATTTATCCATTTGAACTAAGTTGTCCAAATGTTGGCATATAGACTTTCATAATATTGTTACATTATTTGTATTTCTGTGGTGTTGGTTGTTACTTCTCTTCTTTCATTAGTAATTTTATTTGGGTCCTCAGGGTTTGAGCATTCTAATCAGATACACTAGTAGCTCTCTAGTGAAATATAAGGTTCAGACTAGATGGAATTTCAAAAACTTTTTAAGTAGCCTTATGTCATTTCAGGTCACATTAGGCCAGTAAATTGAGTTTTTTGGATTTTAAAATTGCTTATAAGGAATTGATTGGGGTTGTTTCTTTGAAGTAAACTGGGCAGCTTTGTTACCAGATTAATCAGTAGTGTTGGGAATACCATGGAAAATCTAGTTGGAAAACTCCAGCCTTTGTCAATACAGCTGTCTGCCTGTCCACCTCACTGGTACCTCATTCAAGTTGACTTTTCTTTTGCTTTTCAAGACCCTGGAATTAGCTTTCCTACAAGTTCGGATTTTCATTTATTCTAGGTGTCTGCTGTGCATACTTCTCCTCTGCCAACATACATTTCCCTGATCATTTGTCATGTCCTATCAAGAAATAGCTTTAATAATTTAGTGCTTTTGTTCCTATTAATCACATAGAGTTCCAGACTTCAAATCTATTACAGCATTGGTCTCCACAAACTGTTGTGATCCCTTACCCACCAAAGGAATTTTTGAACATATACTGCCCAGCATATTTTTTATGTTACTTACTATTCATGTGTACTTGCACTAATAGGTGTATTATAACTGACATATCTATTATTGATGAAATGAAGGTCTAGGTCTTTGCTGAGAAGGAATTCTTTTTGATTGCTCTCATAACTGATAGATTCCTCAGAGATACATGAAGAAGTACGTTGCTGATTGTTTGCATTAAGTAGTGGCTCTTCATTTTTCATCCTTCATCAGCAGATATGCAGAGGTTTTTATTCAGATATAGGTAGTGAGTATGCTTTTTCCCTGATAGCTAAACAGGTGGTCTTACAAGCCTTTCAGAGGAAATTAAGTTTTTCTGCTTTTAGCAAATAAGTTTGAAGCCTTCTGAAAAATGCAGATTTGGAAGATTTTTAAATGGGTTGGAAAATTGTGGTTCCGGAATATTTTGAGTGTCTGATTGCTGCTTTTACGGGAGACGCATGTTTTCACAATGTTACTTTTTAGGTGTAATCACACTTTTCTTTTTAAGACATTCTATTCACAGAATAAATTTTTTTTCAAAAAACATTTTAAACTCTTAAAATACTGCTTTTCTCTTGAAAGAATGGAGTATTTTTTAAAACTTGTGTTGTTACATACTACTGACAGTCCTTTGTCATCTTGGAAAATTTGGAACATTTTTCTTTTTGTGAAAAATGCATGATTCTTTAAGTCGTACAACTCTTTAAGTACTAAACCACTAAATAGCATACTTTTATAACCATTCCTATGGTATTGCAAACTATTCAGTAGCCTCTATAAATCCACTTAAGCAAACATTAACTGCCAAATGCTGTAATCATCTGAATAAAATAGTGAGATCCCCACTTAGAGACTCTGTGTAGTATTTTTTAAATATAACATTTAATTTTTAAAGAAGAAATATGTAACAATTTTCACTATTTTCTGCCTGCATCTCAGTGGATTGCCCTTGAGGTGCGAGCACCTAATTTAGAGAACAGTGCAAAACAGCATGATAGCCTTTTAACTGATCATGTATCCCCAGTCTCCGTGTGATTTATCTTGTATACTGTTATTCAAACAAACTTTCAGTATGTAAGACTTTAGAATCTTTTATGATCTTCACTATTAAATGAATGCAGTCTTGGGCTAGAAAGTAGATTTAGATTATGTTTTGGTTTTGGGTGGTCCAGGTTGATTCCATATATCATTTTGGATGTGATCACTGGAGGAAGGAATTTTTTTTTTTTTTTGAGGAAGAAATTTTTAATCTATTTTTCTGTCACATGGAATCTAACACGGTTTTAGAAGTATGAGTAAAGGTCTCTTTTCCTTTCTCAGCTTTTAAAATCTAGTTCAGAATTGCTCATTTTCTAAGACACTTAAATGTATGTAGAGCTACATGCTTTGTGCATCTATGAAAGGCTTTGTTAGAACTTCATCTAGAATGCTATTTATAAAACAACTGGAGTTTTTAAAAATTAAAAGGTTCTCAAGGTTTGGGAGAGAAAGCAGAAATATATCTGGCTGGAGAGGCACAAGTTCTAGTGATAGCAAGAGTAGGGGGAAAGTAGTTTTTTAAAATAAAAACCTGACGGTTTCTTCTTCTAGGCTGAAAAATGAGTATCAATATGAAATAAATGGGTTTACTCAAATCTTTCGTTACAGGAAAAGGCATTAATAGCTGCGCAGCTGGATAATGCTATTGAAAAGGAATTGCTGGAGAGATTGAAACAAGATACGGTGAGAAAGCTAAGAACTTTGGGATGTAAACTTTATTTTTTAGATCAGTAATATGCTAGGAACTAGTGGGAAATGTGTTTTATTTTCAAAGGTGCTGGAAAGATCTTTGATTTTTGTTCCTGAAATAAAACATATACAGGCTCTGGCTTCCCCACTTTAGTTCATTGACACAAACCTATAAAATGCTCTGGTCACCCTTGATGCTCCATTTAGTGTAAGAGACCTTTTCCCTTTGCACCATATTGCCAACTTGTGTCCCCAGTACAACAGTTCCAGATCTCTGTACAAAAGGCATGCAGTTTTGATCCTCTTGCACCCTAATCTTCTAAGACTTTTTAAAATGGGATTTTAATTCACTTTAAAAACTAATGTTGGGCAGCCTGGGTGGCTCAGCGGTTTAGCGCCACCTTCAGCCCAGGTTGTGATCCTGGAGACCCAGGATCGAGTCCCATGTTGGCTTCCCTACATGGAGCCTGCTTCTCCCTCTGCCTGTGTCTCTCTGCCTCTCTCTGTGTCTCATGAATAAATAAAATCTTTAAAAAAAAAATAGATAGAAATTAATGTCATTTACAAGACAAAAATGAATAGAACTTTATTACTTCTTTCTGTCAGCAAATTTACATTTGTTCCAAGCCATGGGTTTTAATAAACTAAGTTTCAAGTGACTCTTCATGGAAGCTACTTGTTTGATTTTAACCAGTGATTATTTAAAATGGGCTTTTAAGATATTGTCAGCTCTAGGCTTGAATATTAATACAGAAATACTACTACTTCTCAAATCAAGTATTCTCATTTAATCACTGGGGAAAAAAATAATATGCTTATTGGACAGTGGATTTCACATGTACGATTGAGAGGTCATTAAAGCTGGTGTGTATCTGTGTTCTTCAGTATGGCGACATCTACAACTTCCCCATTCATGCCTTTGATAAAGCCCTGGAACAGCAGGAGGCAGAGAGTGACTCTTCAGATTCTGAGGAAAAAGATGAAGATGAAGAAGTAAGCCTTGTTTGTTCGTTTTGCTTCATCAAACGGTAGTCTTGTAAAACTAGATCTCTTTACATGAACTTGGGAGACAATATCTCATTCCCCTAACCAAAAACTCTTTGGTCATTTTTCTTTATCATGAGGTTACCTCTGTTCAGCCAATAAGCTGTTTACACACTGACAATTTAATTGTATTTACTGGGATTCTGAAATTTTTCTTGCAAGGAGACCAATGAAGAATCTTCATCAGCTAAAGGAACTTACTGAATTTTTTTTTTTTTTTTAGGAACTTACTGAAATTTATACAGGATTTCATTTCACTATTAATACAGGGGAGGTACTTGAGTGATAGTATTTTTAGGAAAAGGTCAGATTTAGCAGGTAGTTGCTTAATCACGTGGTACTTTTTCCTAGTAGTAACCCTTTTCAATATTTGAAATTAATAGGTTTAATTAAATATACAGAATTGTTTGTAAAGCCCTATCTGTATACTGATTTTTTTTAAATAAGGATGTTTTACCTCATTAAAAGAAATTGATAACCCTAAAATGTTTTTAATTTAGAAGTATTAAAACTTGGAAATCAGTAGATTTTGGTTGAGCCTAGTAAGTAGACTGTGAATCTGTTACTTATTCACTTACTCATCAAGAAGCATAAGCTGAATTTTCATTCTGTATTTTGAACATACCAATTTTTATTTTAGGATGTGGGAAAAAGAGAGTTTGTGGAAGACGATGAGGTGGATGAAAGTGACATAAGTGATTTTGAGGTGAGATTAATGGGCAGAAAAATTGTCTTTGGCCTTCAGGAAAAAGGAGGTTTCTGAATACAGAGCCAGATAAATTCTCTGGTTCTAAATTGAGAAGACAATGAGAGGAGTTTGAGGATGAATCTAGAATTTTCTTTTTTTTTTTCCATCCCCATATCAGGATATGGATAAATTGGATGCCAGCAGTGACGAAGATCAGGATGATAAATCCTCCAGTGAGGAAGAAGAAAAGGTCCTTAATGCAAAACATAAAGGCAAAACACCCTTGAAAGGACACTTGCAGAGAAAACGAGCCTATGTAGAGATAGAGTATGAGCAGGAGACAGAGCCTGTGGCCAAGGCCAAAACTATGTGACTTGAGACATTTATAAGCAGGACTGAACATTTTCATCATCCTCTTTCTTTTACCATGAACATGTAAACACCTCCAGTTTTTGCTCTTTCATATGGTATTCAACACAATATTTGTGTTTTTAATATTTATGCTACTTCTGTGGGGCAAGAAATCTGGGAGGGAGCGGAGGAGGCCTTGAGTTGTGAACACAGTATTTTTATAGCGTTGGCATATGCTTTGAAGTAACAGCTTGAGCCCAAGAAGCTTAACAGATGAATTTGTGGGTGTAAATATTTCTAAGTTTTAAATGCTATCCACCCGTTTCCTTGGCATCCTCCCCCATCCCCCCAACTTTATTTAGAAATCTCTTCATTTTTTTTTTTTTTTTTTGCCTTGTTCCCCTTTCCCTACTTCTATAGAAGGGACTAAAACAAAAAGGTCTAAGCTACAATGTTTAGTGTGAAAATACCTTTTTTCTTAAATAATTTCATTTACACAGTAGGAACAAGAAGAAAAAGCCTTCCAGTTTTAGGTTCCGTTGTAGGATGTGCCTTCCGAAACCTGCTGCACTTTTCGGATACAGTTCACCACCTTGCTGTCTTCACAGCTTTGGAGAATTTTGACCAGGAGATCCTGAAACATGAAACCAAATAGACTTTGGGTTTTATTTTTAATTGATACTTTTTCTTTTACCTTGGTGGTACTTTTCTTGGTACCACACTCAAAAGAAAAAAAAAATGAGATTAGAGAGCAGTCTGTGGAACAGGTGTACTGTGTCAGTGTGCATGGGAATATCCTGCTGGCTGGCTGAAGATGGCTGGTAAGAAGCCCGTTAATACCAGCCAATGCAAATCAGATTGGATCCAGCTCGTGAAAACTGCCTGAGATGAAAGAGCCAACACGAAGTAATCTGAATAAACTGATAAAAAAAACCAAACTATTTCTAAATATTTTTATGCTGTTTTTTAACTTTAAATTGAAAATTTCTAAAGAGAAATGAGGCAGTGGTTTATTAAATGTCTACAAATACACACATATAGCTATTATATGCTCTGGTTTTGAGAAGTTAACTTTGTGGAATATGAAACTAAAGGAAAAATCTCCATGTGAATAAGTAAGAGTATGTAAAAATATAGTTGCCCAGAAAAACTGGAAACACTTCTGGGATCTGAATCACTCTACTTGTGTTGTTATTTTTTGGTGGCTTGTAGTTCATTATTTCATCATTTAAAAAAAATTCAGAGACTGAAACAGACTTTTTTAATAAACTCCATCTTTTGCCCATTTTCTACCATCACCCCAGAGACCTCTCCTGATCCTCTTGCTTTTTGGTCTAAATAGTGCTGAGTAGCTTTAAAAGAAGAATGAGATGTTAATCACCCTTTATTGGGGGCTAGTGGTCTCCAAAGTGGAGCCCTGAACCCTGTGTTTTTTTCCACAGAGTAGGTGAGGCATGTGAACTGTAGTCAGAGGAACTGCTCAAGACCCAGGTTGCAGACTCACCTTCACCTGTCCTTGAGAACAGTGGTCCAGGAGAATCAGGCACTCGGTGGCCTCCTCTAGTAAGGCGCTCTTTACAGGCTCAGGTGTAAGGCTTGGGTCCCTTGCTACATCACATATCAGTTTCAGGAGCGCCTTCAATAAGACCACAAGTCTACAGGGAACTCTGGAATCAAGAAAAAGTTATGTTCATACTCTATCTAAATCAGGATATTAACAAAGATTTCAAAAGGCCATCAAAGTTGTAAAGCCCTTCCTTCCTAAATGAAGGAACTGAGGGAAATGATTCAACAACCAGGGAGCCAGAAGCAGAACTAGACACCAGACACCAGGTTTAGTCACTTCAAGACCCCCTGTTTTCTGCAGCACAGTGTGTGCCCATGAACACTCTGGCCTGCCTGGGAACACCCTACTCCTCTCCAGAAGTGTGGTTCTATTGTAAGGGAATAATCCCTCCTGGAAAGGGAGAAGTAGAATCTCCCCTTACCAGGGGCTTATACTTTGGGCCAGAGAAGAGGAAATGGTCCATAGTCCCTTAACTGTTACAGTCTTAGGCCTAAAAGTTAAAGAGAGAAATAAGCTTGGGTTCTGGGACCTCACTGTTAATTAGAATTTTCTGTCATTTAGTTCCAGATCCTAGCTTACCATCAGTTAAGCCCAGCCTATTAACTTCAACTTACTACCCTTTCTGAAAGTTTTTATCTTGATAAAAATTGTTCTGGGCATACCTGCCTGCTTGGCAGTTTTACCTGGGCCATGCATATTGAATGAGAAGTTTTAGGGTTTCCAGTATCTTCAATCTAGCCTCTTCCTCCGGTCCATCATAAACCTCCAGATAACCAATGATGATTCGCTCCAGTCTCTTTAAGTGCCGGACAGTTACAATCCCCAACCTAAAAAGCAAAGAGAAATGTGCATCGAGGAGATGAACTTGAAGAGTAGGCCAGGCCAGACCAGTGGCCCAGGCACTCACCTCTTCACAAACGCCGGGAGGTTTCGGGCATAGGTCCTGCGTAGGAGAAGGCGGTGCTCTGGCTCCATGTGGGTCAGAATCAACTGCAGCACCTCATCACAGTGTGTGGTGGGCCGACCTGCACCTCCCTTCCATTGCAGGGCTTTCTCCAGGATGGGGAATAAATCCAGCAGACACAGGAGCACAGCCTGGGAGGTAGTAATAAAAAAGACCTATTTATTTGCATTCACACTCACTGATTGGGCTAGCAACTTTATATACATGTTCTCACAATAAAACTCCATAGAGTCTGAGATGGTCTTTGTGTCCAGTTTGACCACCTTCTGTGAGGTTTCAATGTCTAGGCACTCCCTTCTAGCTCTCTTGGGATCTTTGCTTTTTCTTAGTTTTGTTTTAAAGCCATCATCTAAAGAGTCCTATACTTTTTGGCTGTCAGTACCTGGATTCTCGGCTTAATACCTAAATTGATATTTAAAGAAATGTGGCAGGGGGGAGAGAAGGGAAGACAGGCATAAAAAAGGTTATTTCTACCTCTGATTTTATATAACTTGTTTCTTCTGTCTTCAGAATGTTCTTTCTGTTACTAAATAACTGTTCATCCTTCCAAGATCACCTCCTTCCCAAATTCTAAAACCATCCCACCACCACCAAACTGGTTAGCCACCTTTTGCTGGACACCCACTGCACTCTACACAAACTTAATAGATATTTCACATTGTGCTGTAGACATGTAGAAATACTCATTTATTTTTTTAAGTTGAGTCCATTTATTTTTATTTATTTGAGAGAGCACGCACCAGAGAGCACAAGGGGAGAGGGAGGGACTGAGGGAGAGGGAGAAGCAGACTACCCACCGAGCAGGGAGCCGGAGCCTGAGCCTGACACGGGCCTGGATTCCAGGACCCCGGGATCATGACTTGAGCCAAAGGCAGTCAGCCAACTGAGCCACCCAGGTGCCCCAAATACTCATTTATTTACATGTCTTTCTAAAGGGTTTCTTAAAGCCAGAAACCCTGTCTGATCCATTCACTCTTGGAACCCACATGGTTCCTCAGACAGTAGGTATCCAGTATCTCTCGGGTGAAAGCACTGTAATATCCAACATAAAAGGAGTTTCAAGAGTGTGTTGATACAAAGCAACAGAGAAGGACATTCAATAAAAATAGAACTTTTCAGACAAAGCTTTTCTCAAGTGATAGAGAACTGGCCTAGATGAAGACCAAACACTAGCTTTACTGTGGAGACTCAGAAATGTGAATGCCCACTTAGTATTAAGACATTTTCACTAGTCATTTGCTACTTTATTTTCAAGTTGGCAATGACTTGGTCATCACCCTCACTTTCCAAGAGAGGAAAATGTGTCTCAACTATCCTTATTCACATAATACCACCTTCTACTCAAGTTTGAGAACTTAGATTCGCAGTTATAAACAAAACTTAAAATTACCTGAATGAGGTTGTACTCTGGTGTGTACAGGTGGTTGAAAAGGGCATGATATACGACCTGGGCTCTGTTATACTGGAGCAAATCAGCAGCTGGCTGCAAGCAGAAAAATTACCCAATTCAGTTTCCCAAGGTTGCCAAATTGTTGATAATTTTTGAAACTATGGATACACAATTATACCATAAGATTCATTATGCCCCTCTCTACTTCTATGTGTATTTTTAAAGCTCCATTATACACAGCTTAAAGAAAAAAAGTTTCCTTGAGTAATATAATAGCTTGCACATTGAGCATAATCCTTTTCAGTTTCTGATTTTTTTGCTCCTTGAAAATCAACTGTTAATCAAGGTCTGGTTATTCAGTTTGACATGCAGGATAATGGCCCAGGTGTCCTACATACGTTACTTAAGAGGTACAATCTACTAGGTTAGCAGAGGGAAAATACAAAGGAAAAAACTATACGTAAGTGATTTTTGTCACATAACAGCATAACAGGAAGCTAATAAGAGGTATAAAAAGGAAACACATAAACACTAAAATAGTGTTATACTGGTGACTCAATCTGTCCCATCAACACAGATGACAGGTTGCTTACCACATTAAGCACAATGTGATGGAGGCAGCGTACACCCAGGATTTTGTTCTCGGTTTGATAGTCATCTGAGATGAGCAGTGACGGGGGAAGTACCATTTCCAGATGTTGGCTAAGCCAGGGTCGGGTGACCTGTTGTAGACTCCATGAAAAAACATGTTTGGTGGCAGGGTTATTCTTCCAGGATTCCCTAAATGGAAATGTGAAACCACATTAAGTAGTGACATGTTAACTAGCAAAGCAAATCAACCTCTTCAAGTGAAAGAATATTTTCTTGTCCTTGTAAAGAATATAGCACACAAAATTCTTGATATTATACAGTTTAAGATTTAGATCAAAATAACTTACAGAACTTGCACCAAAAGAACAAAAACAAACAAATAAAAAGTAACCTGACACTAAGTACATTGAACAATCAATCACCCAGGGCTCTGGGCCTAAAGCTTATCCAGTGAGAAGGAACTGTTTACAATCTGAGCTTGTAAAGAATCCGCGGTGATGGGGTGGGTGGTTACAGTGAAGATTTGTTAAGAAGGGGGAGGGGAGTAAAGGAAATCCCTTCAGTACTAGTCACTATAACAAGGGAGCAAGTGGGGCAGCCCCAGTGGCCTAGCGGTTTAGCGTTGCCTTCAGCCCAGGGCCTGATCCTGGAGACCTGGGATGGAGTCCCACGTTGGGGTCCCTGCATGGAGCCTGCTTCTCCCTTTGCCTGCGTCTCTCTCAAGAATAGATAAATCTTTTTTAAAAAAAAGGGGGGGGGGAAGCAAGTAAATCAATATCTGAAGAAAAGCAATTTACAGCTTATTAAGTGGGGTTTTCATTACACTTTACTCAACCTTCAGAATAACTGTATAAGAGGAGATAATATCTTTTCATTACAAAAAAAAAAAATAGGTTCAAAGAGGCTCTCTGACATGGTCTGACTCAGAAGCAATAAAATGAAGTGCCAAGTCACCTCAAAACTCCAGGCTCCTGGTAAAGTGACAGTTGTGTACACATTTTTCTCTCATCTCCTGTTACAAATATATAAAGTAGCAAGTGGAACTCACAAAGAACACTTCAGCTGAGAGCAATCTAAAGGGCTTTCTTTCATCCCAAACTGGCTTCCAGATCTAATCAACCGTATCTAATACCTAGTGATGAGTTTCAAGATCCCTAAGTTTAAAATCAAACCCTGGGATCCCTGGGTGGCGCAGCGGTTTGGCGCCTGCCTTTGGCCCAGGGCGCGATCCTGGAGTCCTGGGATCGAGTCCCACGTCGGGCTCCCGGTGCATGGAGCCTGCTTCTCCCTCTGCCTGTGTCTCTGCCTCTCTCTCTCTCTCTCTCTCTCTCTCTCTCTCTCTCTCTCTGTGACTATCATAAATAAAAAAAATAATAAAAATAAATAAAAAATTAAATAAAATCAAACCCTACGTTTAAATCCTCTCCAAATCCCCATCGTCACCTAACTTAAGAAACTTGAGTCTAAAGACATGGGACAGAACTCCGGAGGGCTAGAAGGAGCGCTAGCAAGTGGGGGCCTGAAGGCCTGGGTTCGCCAAAATCTAATAATGCCATTTATAGCAAATCACAACCCTCCCGGGCGTTAAGAGATCTGCTAATATTACACCACCTTTACCTTATCGTTGGAGGAACTCAGGTCCTTCGAGCCCTAAACATTCTACGATGCTAGGCTGAAGCCCAGAGGTCGTGGTCCTTTGGCGAGAATACTCACTTATTCAAATCGCGTTTGAGAAGCTCCATTACTAGCGTAAATCTCCCTTTCTCGTCCTCATGTTCTCCGTGCAGAAATCCTGCCACCGACGCACACGGAGTAACCCGAAGGAGTACGGAGAGCACCTCTCCAGCAACCTCACGGGACCTCGGGCTGGTCCACGGGTGCTCCAGACTGTGTGTGAGCGCGAAAACATAGATGGGTGCTGCCAAGTGACGCAGGCCTGCCTTCCACGTAGGGCCAACCAACGAAGACTGGGCCGCCTCCATTTTCCCCAGTAGTTCGAGAAATAGTAACCCAACCGCGGCCGCTTTCTCGGCGGCCACTTCGCAGTCCGCACGACGTCGGCCCTCCTGCTCCCCGGGCGGGGCTGCATACTTCTCCAGGGCTTTTGCCACCTGCCCCAGCGCCTCGGGCATTCCGCGGCGCCACGCGCCGCCCCCCTCCAACAGCTGGTCACACTCTGTGGCTTCTATCAGAGCGCTCAGGTCCTCAAGCGCCGCACTCCTGGCCTTGCCCCGTCGGGACTCCTGGCTGGTGAGACGGTGCACGATCTGAGACAAGGACTGCCCGAGGGCGGAGGGAGGCCGCTCTCCCGGCGAGCAGGAGCCTTCCTGCGAGGGGGCTTCCCGCGGGCTCTCGGGCTCCATCGCTCAGCCCGCGGCAGCGACGAGCTGGCCTCCTCCGGGAGCCGAGATGGGAGGCTGGTGCGGCCCGCCCGACAACAAAGATCACCCGGAGGCTGGAGTTCTCCCAAGGAGCACCTAGAAAACCCAGGAAGACGGCCAGACGTCGGAGGGCGGGGCGCGGGGTCGCGAGTCTCACCTGCAGAAGAGGCCAGTCTGCGCGAAGCAAAGGATGCAGGAAAGGGAACGGAGCCTCTCTGGGAGCAAGAGGACCTCAGACTCCCAACGGCGGATAACTTACCCTTGCCTTTCTGAAGATTAAAAACAAAGCGAAACCAAACAACCCTAAAGGTCTAAGAAATAAAGCCCTAAGGCGAGACGCAAACACCTCCACGGGCGCCGCACGACCCGCCTGCACCGCGTACGCCTCAGGATCCAGACCCAGCTCGCCTCGCTGCCGCAAGGCACCAGGCTAGCTTCCGCCAGTGCCCAGGCAACACTTCGTCATTTCACGACCCGCTGTCGTAAAGCAACAGAGATCCAGGTTCCCCTCCAAAAAAGGTGGAGTTTGGGAGAAAAATTTGCATAGACGCATCCTCTCGCTAGTTTTATACCTTCTTCACTTATTAAGGTAGAAACACACGACGCGTATCGAAGATACTTTAAAAGCACGCAGAATTTCACTGTTGAGACTGAATATGTAAGGGCTAAGTCTGTCACCCTCTTCAAGAAGTGTGTGGTACATCCTCGGGCTTCCTTAACAGGCGCCGCCGCGCGATCCTTTTGTAGTTCATAAGCGTGATGATTGGGTGTTCACGCCGCTGCGTGACGTGTGCCTCCCTCAAACCTTGTTACGACGCGGCACATTACCCGTCTGACGTGAACTCGGAGGATCTTTCCGTCCTTACCGTACCTCAGAACGTTAGCGCGTCGTCCGTCTCCGGTGTGGGCGGGCGGCTGCGCCGTCTTCCCGGCCTGGGTCTGGGCCTGGGCGCCGGGTGAAGCCTTCGCTGGGGAGGTCGGCGTCGCGCGGGGGCTGGGCACGTGGGGGCTGGCCCGGGGCGGAGGAGTGGCGGCGCCCTCGGGTGCGGCCGCGCGCGGTGCGGGGTCTGGGCGGCAGGCGGCGCCCCGAGCGAGCCGGGAGCCGCGGCGGGTTCAAGCGGCCGCCCCGCCGCCCTTTGTCGGTCTTGGGTTCGGTCCCGACGGGGTGGGCGGGGGGAGGAGCCTGTCCGAGCGCGTGTCTGGCCGCGTCCGCACGGGGGGTCTCCTCGCCGCGGGTCCCCGGCAGTGGAGTTCTGTCCGGGTGGCCCAGGGTCCCCCGGCGGAGGGTGGTGGTGCTCTCGCCCGTGACCTCCTGTGCTTTCCGCGCGCGTGTCCTAGGAGCGGGGGGGGGGGGAGGCGGACCTCACCGGTGCCAGCTCGGGGGGCAGCCCGGCAGCTGCGGCTGGTGCTCAGTCCGTGGGGACGCTGCGCCCCCCAACAGGTCAGAGCGCTCTGCAGGGATTTCCCCATCTGGGCGCTGGGGGGTGGGGGGGTCCACCCACGTGCGGTCTCCTCCCCAGGGGGTGACTGTATGGCCGGAGAAGACCGTGTACCCTTGTCCCACGTGGCAGAGGCCGCTGCTTGCGGGCAGCCTCCCTCCGCGTCACTTGCTCGCTGTGTGCCGTGTGCCCCGTGTGCCCTTGGGGAGCAGGCCCTAATCTCTCTGTGCCTTCTATTTCCTTTTTTTAAAAGACTTTACTCATCTACTCATGAGAGACACAGAGAGGGGCGGGCTCCCCGCAGGGAGCCCGATGCGGGACTCGATCCCCGGACCCCGGGATCACGCCCACGCCCACGCCCACGCCCACGCCCTGAGCCGACGGCGGACGCTCAGCCCCGGCGCCACCCGGGTGCCCCTCTGCGCCTGAACTTCTTTAACGGTGACGCGTGAGGAATGATAGTCCCTACTTCTTAGGATTGTCGTGAAAAATAAAGGAGCTAAGTGTGCGTCAGCAGCTGAGAGCGGCATTCATTTACATTTCCTCTTTTGAGGGAACTTTGTGGTTAGGACCCTGCCTCTCTGCCCCCTCCATCTGGCCTTGCCTTCTCTGGCCGATTGGTGGCACTCGTGATTTTCTAAGCAATTTCAAACATCGACTAAAAACACAGGAGTTCCTCCGGAGGGACTTCTGCCACACTACAGCGGGTGTGCGGAGCACGATGCCAGCCCACGGACTGCGGTGGTGTCCCTCCTGTGTGTGAGCCTGTCTTCCCTGCTCCTCGCACCCTTCGTGCCAAGTGGATCCGCGACCTCACTCCCTTGTGAGCAAGGCGCTTGTGCTGCGGAGGTCTCCCCCCGCGCTCTGAGTTCCCTGAGGCCAGACCATGTCTTTACCCCCAGTGCCTGGCACGATTTAGCCGCGCAGTAGATGTTCGTGGAACCCACAAGCCTGTCCACAGAAGACTGGCTGAATGAACCACGGTACACCCGCACAATGCAGTTCTGTGCAGCTTTACAAAGGAATGAAGACCATCTCTGTGGAAGGTCACAGAACTCCAGGATGCATTTTTAAGAATGTTTATTTGTGAGAGACAGAGAGGGGCAGAGACTTAGGCAGAGGAAGAAGCAGGCTCCCTGTGGGGGCCCCCATGCCGGACTCATCCCAGGACACCACCCCGAAGGCAGATGCTCAACCACTGAGCCACTCAGGCGTCCCTGCAGGATGCATTAAGTGGAAAAAGCAAGGCTGGGGGCACATATATGTTGCCCTTCTCCTAAGAAAGATGTGCGTGTTTGTTTACATTTGCAAGAAGAGGCAGTGGAATTATAAGTCACAAACCAATAAAAATGTTACATATAAGGAAAAAACCAGAGAGAAAAAATGGGAGTGGAAGCTAGACTTATCTTCATATACTGCGTTTTTTTTTAGTTTGACTTTGGAATCAAAGTAAACTTTTGGTTTCCATGATTATTTTTTTAAAAGAAAAAAAAATAAAGCATTTTCCAAAAGAAAAAAAATTAAAGTGTCAGGAGTCACTGACATAACTACCTGGAAAAATAAGTAACTGACTTTAAAACTCATTATTTTGACTGTACATTCTTAGTGACACTAAGGATAAAAAAAAAGATTGGCAAAGAAATCAAACTGCATGTAATAATAGTATTTGTTAGTAATAATACTGATATTGTTGGTTTTTTTATGCTATTGCATGCATTTTTTTTACGACTTTATTCATGAAAGACACAGGGAAAGAGAGGCAGAGACAAAGGCAGAGGGATAAGCAGGCTCCACGCAGGGAGCCTGATGTAGGACACGATCCCAGGACTGCGGGATCACGCCTGAGCCAAAGGCAGATGCCCAACCACTGAGCCACCCAGGCATCCCATCAGGCATCTGTATTTTACACATATGTGTAAATAAAAGAGTAAATAAGTAATTGAATTAGTGTCGTTAGATACCAAGGTCTTCAGTGAGAGACGAAGAGATACAACTATCAAATCAATGGTGCCAGGGATAAGTCGTGTAAATAATGGAAAATTTGAATTGGCAATGGTAATATGAATCATGATTAAATTTTCTTTCTTTGCGTATGTTAGCTGTGTCCACTGAAAAAGCCAAGAAGCAAAGGCAATCCATTGGCTATGAACAACCCTAGTGTCCAAATGGATCATCGAAATGCCATTGCCCACTAAAAGGAACAGGACCCTTTTAGGAAATGACCGATTTCAGAACCGGGGCAGGGATTGTGTAAGATGAGCCTGTGACATTCTGTTATGCCAAAAAGTAAGGTAGCTATCAAATGCTACTGAAGTTATGTCAAAAGAGCCAAGAGCAAAGATAAAGGGGCATCCTTTGGCTAAAGATGGAACAGTGTGGGCCTAAGAAAGAATAATGACTGATTCTGGAGGCGCCTGGGTGGCTCAGCAGTTGAGCATCTGCCTTTGGCTTGGAGTGTGATGCTGGGGTCCTGGGATGGAGTCCCACATCGGGTCCCCTACAAGGAGCTTGCTTCTCCCTCTGCCTGTGTCTCTCATGAATAAATAAAGTCTTTTTTTTAAAAAGCTTTTTTTTAAATTTTTATTTATTTATGATAGTCACACAGAGAGAGAGTGAGAGGCAGAGACACAGGCAGAGGGAGGAGCAGGCTCCATGCACCGGGAGCCCGACGTGGGATTCGATCCCGGGTCTCCAGGATCGCGCCCTGGGCCAAAGACCGGCGCTAAACCGCTGCGCCACCCAGGGATCCCGAATAAATAAAGTCTTAAAAAAAAAAAAAACAAGAATGATTGAAACATCAAATATATACAAATCCATGAATGCATAGTGATATTTTTTTTAAATCCTTCATCGTTTATTCGTGTATCATCTAAGGAACTATTTGTTTAGAAAATTGGTAAAGAAGAGGAAAAAATCAAGCATTTATTCTGCTATAATTTCAGGTTACCCAAATAGTTTGTAAGGATAATAAATGCAACAGAATAGTTGGAATTAAAGAGTCAGTCTTCACAACTCCTAAAGAAGCCCTAGGACATGGCAGCAATAACCATGTTATCAAAAGTGTGAGGTGGGGGGCACCTGACTGGCTCAGTGAGTGGGTACAACATAAGACTCCTGATCTCAGGGTGGGGACTTCAGACTCCATGTTGAGCACAGAGACTACTTAAAAATTCTTAAAAAGTACATTGATGGGAAACTTATAATGGTTGGATGAAGCTAAAAATCCTGAACCCACAGATTTTTTTAAAATTAATTTATGAGGGATCCCTGGGTGGCGCAGCGGTTTGGCGCCTGCCTTTGGCCCAGGGCGCGATCCTGGAGACCCGGGATCGAATCCCACGTCGGGCTCCCGGTGCATGGAGCCTGCTTCTCCCTCTGCCTGTGTCTCTGCCTCTCTCTCTCTCTCTCTCTGTGACTATCATAAAGAAATAAAAATTAAAAAAAAACTTAAAAAAATAAATAAAATTAATTTATGAGAGACAGAAAGAGAGGCAGAGACATAGGCAGAGGGAAAAGCAGGCTCCCCACGGGAAGCCCGATGTGGGACTCAGTCTCAGGACCCCAGGATCACGACCTGAGCCAAAGGCAGACGCTCAACCACTGAACCACCCAGCTGCCCCTGAACCCACGGATTTATCTTCACATCACTGAGTGAGCCATACCACATGTCTCCTGTTACAATGCAATAGGAAGTACACAGCATCTATGAAATATTCTTGCACAAACCTCACCTAATCAGACTTCTAGATCTAACTACCAAATGGCAAGAAGCATGGAGGACAAAGAAACAGATGAAAAGAGACTACGATGGTTTAATCAGCTGAGTAAGGATATAGGAAGTTCCACAAATCACCCAGTTTCTTCAATAAATAATGAGCATGAAAGAAATGGAGTATGAGGAGTTCTGATAGAGATGAAAATTTTTTTTTTACAAGACAATTTTTTTTCAGAGATTTTATTTATTCATGAGAGACACACAGAGAGAGGCAGAGACACAGGCAGAGGGAGAAGCAGGCTCCATGCAGGGAGCCCGATGTGGGACTCGATCCTGGGACTCGATCCTGGGACTCCAGAATCATGCCCTGGGCTGAAGGCAGGCACTAAACCACTGAGCCACCCAGAGATCCCTGAGATAAAAAGTTTTTAAAGCCACCTCAACCAAATGCAGTGTGGGATCTTGTTCTCAATACACTGGAAAAAGACATATTGAAGGCAACTGACAGAAATCTGAACATTAGACTCGTTATTAGGGTGTCCATATAATTTGTCATCTAAACAGGGCATGTTGAAAGTTAAAGGGTACAGTGGTATAGATTGGGTCTGTCCCAGTAAACTCAAACTGGTGTTGCACAACTGTGTGGAATTATTGTTAATTTTTAGATTGACAATGCTGTTATGT